TGACAGCTGTCCTTTTGAGGTCCTTTGTGCTACGCACTAACAAATTATTGAAATAAAATGTTGGTCTTGAAATGACCTGGTTTGTGTGGAGTGGACTTAAATCCACCTCTCTCTCTCTCTCTCTCTCTCTCTCTCTCTCCTTGTCTCACTCATTCAGTCATATGGGCCTTTATAAGGTAGTGAAGACATTGTATTGTATTATTGTTTGAACAGTGATATTGTCCTACAAGCATGTCACATGAGTCTTTGTCGTATATATATATGTACCTGAGTCTCAGTCCTATATATACATGTACATGTACCTTACAGAAAATAGTTAGATAACATCCATGGGGATAAAATAGGCCAGCATTATTTAAAAGGTATTTAATTGATAGATTATGGGTTTTTTATGAGGAAAAACATGAGGAAACAAAAAGGCTAAAAGATGTAATCATATTGTTTGAAGGGTCTAATTTACATAATATATTGGTTTCACATGAGGAAATAGAAGGCTTTCTGATGAAACCATGATTTTTGAAAAGTCAATCAGTCGCATTTTTGCTATTACTTTTTTTATTGTAAATCATTTGTGGCTTTGAAACATTGATGCTATTTCGCCTGTATATTCTTGACATGTCCTACACTATTTTACAAACCTCCGACCAGGAATATGCCCAATCAGACATCAAGATATTGTGAATTATAATCAAAATTCCAAAATTAATTGACTGTACATTGAGTATAATTACTACCAAGCCTGGAAATAAGGCACCCTTCACAGACAATGTCAGGCACAGATTCAGGCTTTGTCACGCACAAAACCTCTGATGCCTGTCATTTTGTCCGGCACTGATTTGGCTTTCTTCTTGACACATATTACTAAAAAATGTCCGGCACTCTGTTGAAAATGTCAGGTACTATTTCATTAGTGTCTGACATTTTGTCAGGTACATCTAAAACCGTTATTTCCAGGCCTGATTACTACTCATCTCGGTTATCGTTGATAATAGGCTACTTCATTGATCAAGGTATTTATTGTGTTATACCGTCTATACACCTACCTTGATTGACTATTTGGCGGTTTGGATGCCTGAATGGTTAGCACGTGCGTGCTGTATCATAAGGCCCGTCATTGAGTCAACTGGTGTGGTTTCGAATCCCCGGTTGTACGAGACAAGGAGTAGGGTCGCCTGTCCAACCTCGTGGGTTTTCTCCTGGCGTGGCGTGGTTTCGAATCCCCGGTTGTACGTGACAAGGAGTAGGGTCGCCTGTCCAACCTCGTGGGTTTTCTCCTGGTCCTCCGGTTTCCTCCCACTGCTAAAGACCCCTATGCGCAAGCGAATTATTGAAATAAAATTAAACCATGTGTTAGTCCCAAAATGACTTAGTTTGTGTCGAGTGGACATTAAACCCCAATTTTCTCTCTCTCTCTCTGATTGACTACTTAATCTGCCTTTCAAACTTTAAAATAAGAAACAATACTTAGGTAATGATGACCAGTCAGAGACATGTCATGGCCCGATCTAACTAAAATGCTGATCTGTATTTCATTTTATTTATACTTTCGATATTTAACAACTCTTCCAGAACTTGTGTAGTGAAGACAAGTAAAACGAAAACGTTGAGAGAATGCTCTTCGAAACGTTACCTTAATAAATCAGTAGCTGTTTTTCCATGTGTTATGGTTTAGGGGGGTTGGATGGCCGAATGGTTAGCACGTGCTCACTTTATCATAAGGCCTGTCATTGAGTCAACTGGCGTGGTTTTGAATCCCTGGTTGTACCTGGCAAGGAGTAGGGGCGCCTGTCCAATCTCGTGGGTTTTCTCCGGTTTCCTCCCACTACTAAAGACCCCTACGCGCAAGCGAATTATTGAAATAAAATTAAACCATATGTTAGTCCCAAAATGACCTAGTTTGTGTCATGTGGAGGTTAAAATCTATTTCTCTTTTTCTCTCGTTATGGTTTATTTATCTACCCAGTAAATGCCACTTAAAGAATATTATCGTCATCAGTATGGAGATATCCACTAACAATACAATTGACAGATAATTAGGAGGTAAATGTGTTAAGACTAAGTACAACCTCACATTTCTGATGCAATGCAGAGACAGCAACTTGCCATGTATGGTTTCAGCTTTGTTGTTGTAGTTATGTCTATACATGTATATGTTGCTTCAATTTTGTTATATTGTATTAGCTTGAAAATGTTGAGAGAGAATACTCTTCAAATCGTCGTCTAAATAAATCAGTAGCTGTTTTTCCATAAGTATGTGTTATAGTTTACCTAAATATTACTGTTATTCAGAATTGTTAACAGTAGGGCTTTAATAGTTGATAGACATGTAGAAAATTTCATGTGTACTGGCTATTTATAGTTTCATAGGGTATCACTGTAACCTTGTGTATTTAGCACTAATTTCTATCACATTCTTTCAATATCAAATCTTTGTTTAAAATTTCTTATAAATCGTTTAAAATCACCAAACATCATTTAATTTTTACTGGTGTCCAGTTTATATTTGACTATTCCATTTTGATAAGGAGTGTCCAATTTACAAGTGTTTAATTTCTCGATCACTGATAAAAAAAAAAAATCATCTAATTTGTACTTGTGTCCTGTTTAAAGTAGCTAAGTCCGTAACCCAATATCATCCAAAATCTTTGACATTGAAAACACAATTTTTTTTGCAATTTAAATCAGCATTGGTGTGGTGATCTTACCTGGAAAATATGGACTTCTGATATCCAATATTTCAGACAAAATAAACATTTTACCATTGGTACACGAATCGTGTACCTTAATGCGTTTCAGTGCAATTTGTAACAAGCTGCTCAAAGAATGTGGCTAGACATATATTCCACATGTCATATCAAACGGTAATGCCATATTCTTATTTGTAGAGCATGCACAATAAATACTATTGATGTTGACTGGAATAACTAGACGCTAGAAACTGGTGTATATCGCCGAACATAACTGATGACAATTCACAGTAAAACAGAAACGATTGAATGTAAAACAGTTTATATAAATTCCTATTATATTATTATATGTCTTGCGACCCATTTGTGCCAATTTCTAGCTCCAAAATATTACCAATTTAGCTCCTTTAAAGCTGACCATTCAATTTTGATAATGAGAGTCCAATTTACAAGCTTTTGACTTGACTTGGACACCATTCTCACATCAAACTAACACACTTCTACTTGCACTTTTAAAGGATGTGTTCTTGCTAGTATTACAGAGCTTTTAGTATACAAGTTTCAAAGAGCCTATGGGATGATTGCTTTAAGATGTATTATGGTTGTCACACTCCAATAATTTGTCCTTTGATGTGGTTTTAGGCATGTGACTTGTAGCAAGGATGTTAATATGAGGTGAAGCTGTTCATATTATTTACATGTAGCGATTCATTACATCTGAATGATGTTTCTAAGCATTTCAAAAATATTTTTTTGAGATCTAAGATGGAGATGAAAAGAACTTTTATGCACCAAATGGACATACATGTACATGTTACAAGGGAAATTTGCCTAGACAGTTGTACTATGGACTATGCCATAAAATGATTTGTTATAAAATGCAGTAAATGTTTGATGTTAGTTCTGAAAGACCTGGACTGGGTTGAATTGAAATTAGTCTTTTCCTCTTTGTAATGTAATCTAACCTTGATACGAATAGTTTTATTGTTTTGGTTTCTTAACTATTTACATGTTTTATGTAATAGATATGTGGGTCAGGATTAAAAATGTCTTACTATTAGATTAGAGTTTTAGCCCTTTTGTACTGCAGAATGTTCTCCTTGTTGGGCTTTGCTCGTGTTTACACACTACACTTTATTTATTCAATTTTAGCATTTTCGAAATTTTTATCTGGATTATCGCCTCATTATATTATCGCCATATTATTGTGAAATTTTTTGACGTTTTCACTCATGACTCCAACTGGCAGACTGTCGCAATTCAGAAGACGACCATAGTCGCATTACTTCTATATTGTAAATCATTATTTTTCTTCATTATGAGTGAAGCCTGTGTTTTCACAGGCCTGGGACTGTACAGCGCTGTGGACGTCTACGCCTGGCCTTTGGATCCATTCATTTGAATTGATATTTGTTGTTGATTTCTTGCACTGTCTGTGTAATTTATCTTGTCAGCAGGTTTGTCATAATGGTTTTGTTTTGCGTGTAGTGCAATTCTCATGCACTTACTATTATGATATATATCACACATCAATCTTTAGTGCTGTCTATAGTGTGTATATATATACAGTATATCAATCATTAGGGCTGTCTATAGTGTGTATATATACAGTATACCAACATTAGGGCTATCTATAGTATGTATATATACAGTATACAGTATATCAATCATTATTCATTAGGGCTGTCTATAGTGTGTATAAGTATATCAATCATTAGGGCTGTCTATAGTGTGTGTATATATACAGTATAAAAAACATTAGGGCTGTCTATAGTGTGTATATATATACAGTATAGCAATCATTAGTGCTGTCTATAGTGTGTATATATACAGTTTATCAAACATTAGGGCTGTCTATACTGTGTTTATATACAGTATATCAATCATTAGTGCTGTCTATAGTGTGTATATATACAGTTTATCAAACATTAGGGCTGTCTATAGTTTGTATATACAGTATATTAATCATTAGTGCTGTCTATAGTGTGTATATATACAGTATACCAACATTAGGGCAGTCTATAGTTTGTATATACAGTATAGTAATCATTAAAGCTGTCTATAGTGGGATATTAATATTAATCATTATCAGGGCCATCTATAGTGTAATATAACTATAACTATATATATACATATATACATGTATTTTGTCATCTCTGTATGATTATGTATTCGCTGTATGATTATATCAACTTCTGGTGGCAGTAATCAATGTATGATTACATGTATATGAACATATAATTGTGTAATGTAAAATCTGGACATTAGAGATCTATAATTAATGAGTCAATGTTGTTTTTTTTTATTTTGCAGCGCAGTGATGACATGGTGAATGTTGGACCTGGTCGTGATGATGCAGCGAAATATGTGGGACAAGTTTTGTATCAGGGTGGACATCTACCGGTAGAAAATGTAAACAATAGCAGGTCAGTTTTGGTTAAGTTTTTCTCAGAAGAAGTCTATTTTCTAGTGTGATTTCTTGTCCGTTTTAAATGAAATTACGTTTAGGATAGTATCTGGACTGGAATGTCCTGATTTCAGATTCCGATTTTGGCACGAAAGACCTTGTCAGTGGTAACATCTGTGCTGGTGCCAAGTCGTTTGAATGGGACAGAAACTGATTTATGCAGGCCAAATTATCCTAAGGTCTGAAAATTACTGAAGTACTGCATTAATGAGATTTGAAAACACCCGATATCCTATCATTAAATTTTCACGAACATCAACAAAATTCATTGTGTGTGAAATAGCTTTTTTAATACATGTCCGACACTGAGTTGAAAAGTCAGGTACTATTTCATTACTGCCTGACATTTTGTCAGGTAGATCTAAAACCGTTATTTCCAGGATACATTCTCTACCTTTTATATATGTTCATTCCCGTCCCCCACAAATGGTGTCCAAATATGCACACGAAGGTTGTGTGGCCAAATGGTCTAACCCACGCACTTTAGATCATAAGGTCTGACATTGACTCAAGTGGCATTGCCTCAGTTCCAAACATGTGACAAAGAGTAGGGTCACCTGCCTAATTTCTTGAGTTTTCTCCAGGTCCTCTGGTTTCCTCCCACTGCCAAACACCCCTAAACTAAGTACATGTGCATGTATAAGCAAGTTATTTAAATAAAATTGTACCATACAGTGTATGTTAGTCCTGAAATGACCTAGTGTTCAGTGAACCTTGTATCCCATTTAGGGGGATCACGTGGCTAAGTGGGTAAGACGTTGCTCGCTAGCCTGGAGGTCTGGTGTTCGATCCCTGCATTGGCTGAGAAAGTTCATCCCGATTTTCCGGCGTGGTTTCCCCTTGTCAGTGATGCAGGACGGAGGGACTGACAAGGACAGCTGTCTAGTCGTTCGGATGGGACGGAAAACCGAGGTCCCGTGTACACATTGGCGTGCACGTAAAAGATCCCTTTGCAGTTGGAATTCGATATAAGAGTAGGCCGTAGCGCCGCTGCCCGGGCAAAATTTCCCTCATAGCACACTGTATGACGTATGCCCGTCTTCATTAGCCCAGGTTAGGAGCAGAACAGTAGGACGTTAAACCCCATTTCATTTCATTTCATTTCATTTTGTATCCCATTTAAATCTCCCTCTCTGTACATGTTTCCTCATAGCACACTGTATAGCGTACACCCGTCTTCATTAGCCCAGCATAGGAGCAGAACAGTAGGACATTAAACCACATTTCATTTCATTTTTGTTTAAATGATTTGTTTTCTACTACAGTGCACTAAACAATGGCAATATGGAAAATGAAGATCTTTGGACCCCAAATTCCGGGAAAATATCAGCAGTTCGACGGACATTTCTTCTATTAACAGTTTTTGATGTTGGTCTCAGTTTTATACTCTGGGTTATATATACACAGGTAATCATATAGATATACTCAGGTAATCATATTGATGTACACAGGTAATCATATTATACACAGGTAATCATATTGATATACATGTACTCAGGTAATCATATTGATATACTCAGGTAATTATATTAATATACACAGGTAATGTACACAAGTAGTCATATTGATATACACAGGTAATCAAATTGATATACTCAGGTAATTATATTGATATACACAGGTAATCATATTGATATACACAGGTACATGTAATCATATTGAGATACACAGGTAATCATATTGATACACACAGGTATTATATTGAGATACACAGGTAATTACATTGATATACACAGACAATTATATTGATATACATTGATAAAGCAACTTATTTGATTTTGGTACATGTAGCTTAGTGAGTAAGAAGCTGGCATGCTAGCCTGGAGGTCGCGTGTTTGATCCGAGAAAGTTTGGCCGAGAAAGTTCATCAGGATTTTCTAACATGGTTTCCCCTTGTCAGTAGTGCAGGATGGAGGACCTGACAAGGACAGCCGTCTAGTCATTCGTATGTGATGGAAAACTGAGGTCCCATGTATACATTAGCGTGCAAATAAAAAATCCCATGGCAGTTGGAATTCGATATAAGAATAATCCATAGTGCTGCTGCCCGGGTAGAATTTCCCTCATAGCACACTGTATGGCGTATGCCCATCTTCATTAGCCCAGTATAGGAACAAAACAGTAGGATGTTAAACTCCATTTGATTTTTTCAGACATTGTCAAATTTCCATGCTGAAATATACTCAAGTTGATTATTGGACATTTAATTAAGAAAACAAAATGGAAATTTCATCACTAGATATATTCTCTCAACTTGGATTTATTCAAATTAAAAACATTCTCACCAATAGAATTAAGTGACTCGTGTAATTATACATACCTAGATACAATCTGGGTTCAATAAGTGGCGGAGGATCTGGCATCTAGTTATCTACATGTAGTTATTCGGATGGGATGCAAAATATTTGAATTCGATGAAGGGTGCTTAGAAACACAACCGACAGGGCAATATTTCCCTCGTAGCATATAGCACTCTACTAAAAGTAGATGTAAATGTTAAAACTTGATCTCATTTTCTGGAAATTATAAGTTTTGTTGTAGCTGACAATATTTTGATATTATTAATTGTATGTTACAGTTATTAGGCAATGGAACTGGTTGGGATAGTTTTAGTCGACAAGTTGTTAATTATACATTTAAAGAGTCTCTTTTTGATACTGTTGTAAGTATAAATATTTCATTATCACAATCAGACCTGCAAATAACGTTTTAGTTATACATGACAAGGGAGCCACAGTGGCTCAGTGAGTAACCAGAAGATACAGGATTTGTTTCCCAGTGTTGGCAGAGAAAGTTGACAGTGATTTTCCAGTGATTTCCCTTTGTCAGGAAAGGGTGCTTTGCAAGGATAGTGTCTAGTTGTTTGGATGGGATGAATAAACACAGTGGCATGAAACATGGTGTACATGTAAATGATCTCTTCAGAGTTGGAATTTGATATGAGAGTAGACTGCACCGCCACTGTCTGTGCAGAATATGCCACAATGCACACTGTATGGCGTATGCATGTCTTCATTAGCCCAGTCGGAGCAGAACAGTAGGACGTTAAACACTAATAGTAATATAATTGAACTTGAAATACACATTACAGCTCATTGCTTGATAATGACTAGTCGAAACGTCGCTCGCGGTAATTATATTCCATAGAATTGTGACCTTTGTCTGTCCATGAGAAGTGAATAAGAGAAGCGAGTGCGAGCTGTAATTACACCCTGTGTGGTACTAGCACCACCGGGTTAAAAGGAAACATCAAGTTTGTATTAAATAGAAAGCCGCTGTGTCTCATTGAGTAAGATGCCTGGCTTGCTAACCAGGAGGGCTAAGACTCTTTCCCGGTGTCAGCCGAGAAAGTTTCTCTGGGCCAATTTCTCTTGTCCGTAGTGCAGGTAGATAGGCTTGGCAAGGACAGTGACTAGTTGATCAGTTGGAACGAAAAACTAAGGTCCGTCTTCTTTAGCCTAGATGGTATAGAAAAGTAGAATATTAAACTCCATTTTATTTCATTCATTAAAGACGAATGTCTCCATTTTTTTATTTTTTGTGTATATTTCAGATGTTATCATTCATACGTTTTACCTTGCTCAATTTAGCTTATGCGTTATTTCGTCTACGACACTGGTGGACAGTAGCGGTGAGTTATTTAAAACATGCAATTGTAACTGACACAAGAAGACTGAGTAGTTCTTTGATTTATGCTTTAAAGTTTTGAATTGGGCTGATCTTGGGTGGTGGATACCTGAGAACTGAATTTCCACTGAGAGTTCTGAGTTGTCTTGGGGATACTCTTGTATATTATTAATTAGTGATTAAATTTTTGTTTCAAATGAATATATCAACATTTTCAACAAAGACATAATTGTCATCCCACGAAATTTCCAAAATTTGATTCGCCTGAGAGGAGAGTAACACTCCTCCCCCCCTTTCAGAACCTCCCTAGAGATACGAAATTGGGGGATTTTTTAGGAAGAAGAGGAACATATTGTATAAGTCAACCAGGAAATAAAATCACATTTCATAAAAATATACACCAGTTTATGCTACGAATGTTAGAAATCTCCAAAATTTGATTTGCATAAGTGGAGAGTAACACCCCCACCCCCCCCCACCCTTCAGAACCTTCCTAAAGAAACGAAACTGGGGGATTGTTTAGGAAGAAAAGAAACATATAGAATAGGTCATCTTGGAAATAAAGGTACATATACACCCTTGTATATAAATATAATCCAAGATTGTGATGAACTACATGTAACTCCTTAGTGTAAGTACTGCTGACCGGTTGACCATTCTCTGTTTCTTAGTGATACATATCGTAAATTCCAAGAGGTTTTGTGCTTGTTTAAGATCTTATTTTAGATTATTTTTTTTTTGTCTTCTTTCAGTTGACTACATTAATGACCAGTGTATTTTTGATAGTAAAAATATTTTTATTTGAAGTAAGTACACGTTTATAAGAATGTTTTGTTAAATTATGTGATGCTGTATCGGGGGCAGTCATGGTACAGTACGGACATCGTGACGGTTTGTCCGTGCACGATTATCGAGGGTTTTTTTTGTTGAAAATTGTCACAATATCGCCACAATAATGCCACGATTTCACTTAGAATAGTTGTAAGTGGCGTCTGCATGTGATTCTCTGTCTCGTTTATCTTTTGCTTGTTTTTAAAAACCAGATTATTTTTCTATTCAACAGTTTACCTCATATGCAAGTTCTAAAAATCCGCTAAGTTACTGTCTGTTGATTATATCGTTTGTTCTGGCGTGGGTGGAGACATGGTTTCTGGATTTTAAAGTTTTACCTCAAGAAAAAAAAGATCTAGAGAGGCGGCGTGCATATAGAGGTGAGTTGACAACATTTCTACCATCACAAACTACATTCTTACTTAAAAATTACGTGTTAAGCAGCCCATACATGCACAAACTTTTTCATCAATAGTATTGATCTCAATAGCATTGATCTCAACTGCATTGATCTCAGCTGCATTGATCTCAATAGTATTGATCTCAATAGTATTGATCTCAATAGCATTGATCTCAACTGTATTGATTTCAACATTATTGACAGTTCGACGATTGCCCTACATGCTCAATATTTATTGTGCAATATTTAGTTTGAGCCCAACTGTCACAATGGACGAACCAACTGCATAGGCTCTTACTCTAGCCTTGAAGCAAATAGCACCAAAAAGACACACACAAATTTATTGATAGTTTGTGCAAAAAATATCTATCTAAAACAGCACCGTCAGTATATTGTCATCAATACTTATAGGCCGTCAATATTACCTATACACAATCAAAAACACGTCAAATAATTTGACGTCAATACTGTTGATGAAAAAGTTTGTGTGTGTATGGGTCACTTTAGTCTCAAAGTGGTCAAAGTATTGTGTTGAGAAGAGATATTAAACCTTACTCCATTTGTTTAGGTCATTTCGGGGCTAACGTCTGGTACAATTTTATTTCAGTAAATCAGTTCGCTAGCGCATAGGGGTCTCTAGCAGTGGGAGGAGATAACCCGTGAGGCTGAACAGGCAACCCTACTCCTTGTCACTATCAAGCTTGGAATCAAAAACACGCCACTTTTCTCATTGATAAATCTTATGATCTAAAGTGCACACGTTAGAAGCTCGACCACCCAGTCACTCGCCGTTAAATGAAATTCCATGAGGGAAGAAATATTATAGCAAGATGTGCCAACTCTTTTTCTAAATCAGGAGTGACAAACTTTTTAATTAGTTTACACATGAATTCAGATGCGCAATACAACTCTTGTACCCCATTTATTTCAACGAATAAAAGTTCATCTTTCCTCGTTTGATTCATTATGCATATTTTAAGCTGAAAACAGATTAATGTGAAACAGGATAACATTTGCTGAAAAGGATGTCCTCAAAATAATAAAAATCGCTAAGAATAATGGGTAGGCTATAGCTACTGTGGCCGTACTTTATTATTATCACAGGGATGCGATGCACCACTTATGGCCATCCCAGATCTAAATCTCACAATAATCTTTGAGAGGCATTTTGTAACTGGATAGAGCAATAAACTATAACACATACTTCTGGAAATGTCGCCCAAATAAATAAAAATCTGTTTTTCCATAAGTATGTGTTATAGTTTATAAATATCACAAGTTGTATATGTTGATCATTTCAGGAATAGTATCTAATGATGAACGAGCTCCGTTGCTAGGTAATAATAGATTGGGTCGGCAGACACCTGGTGGTGAAGAATATTATTCACCTTTAGAAAGTGCTGAAGGTGAATTATTTTTAGATATATTTGTTATTAATTAAAGAGGCCCCAAGTTCACAAAGCATTCCCAGACTTCACTCAACTTTCAATCACTGTTTATGAGAAATATCTATGGTCCAGAAACACAAAACTTTACATATAGTTTCTTATTGATGTATCTGATACATTAAAACAACAAAAGTTTTATAAAGAACTTTATTTTATGATCAGTAGTGGAATACCGCGTTTTATCAGTGAAATAAAAGTGTTATTCCACTGGCTAAAGTAGTCCATGCTGTTTTTACCTAAAATAATTGTAAAATCATAAAATAAATAGAACATTTGTCGTCTAAGCAAGAAAACGTTTATATTTTCACTCATGCTACGCATTTGTGAAAATATAAGTTTTCTTGCTTCTCGATGAAATAAAATATGTTATTCACGACAAAACGACAAATATCCTCTATATATCTTAGTTAAAATAAGGCGAACAGTTTTGAGTAAATTAAGTCGTTAGAATGCTTCGTGAACTCAGAGCCAGATAAATACTAAGGTTCAATCGCAAAATTTCAGTTAATAACCCAGGTATAGATATCTACGCAGACAGAGTAACAAATGATTTATCATTTTCTATCCGCGGCATTGTTCAATTCGACCCACCCATCCAGTTCTGCAGGTTAATCGTTTGGTTTTTATGATGGGAATGCAATCTTTCATATTCATCTTTGAACGACTGCTGTGGTTACATAGAAAATATGCGTTGAATTGGTCTGATCGAGAGGTACTATTTTGGATGTTTCAAGTCTGGTGTTATCCTATAAAGTTTCTTGGGAGGTTCTGGCGTAGGAATTAGGGCCTGACAAGGATTAGTGTCTAGTTGTATTGGAATGGGACAAAAATGTGGAATAGCACATTGTATGGTGTATGTCCATCTTCATTAGCCTCGTGGATCAAAAACAGAGCGTTTTGTGTGCATGAGAAACCAGAATAATTACCAGAACGCGAAATAAACTTACCGTATCGAATGCCACCCCTAGATAAGATTTTATTGTATCATTACATCCACCGAGGACAGCATACAAAGTTACAGTTTATACAAAAGTTGATCATACAATTATAAGATTACATGATTGATGTACAATGTTGATGAAGTGTATATTTTATTAACAGGTTCTGGTGATGAAGACACTATAAGTAATAGAGACAGGTTTTATAGTGATGCATCTAGAAGTACCAGTAGACCACATAGTACTACAAGTTTAGATAAGGTAATAGCTATAGCCTAATGTAGGCTACATAGTACTACAAGTTAAGCCAAATAGCTTTAATATAGGCTACATACACTGAAACCCGGGTATCATTTAATCTTGAGTATCTAGTGCCCATTTCTTTCAAATTCGATTAAAATCACCAAAAATCATCCAATTTGTACTTGTGTCCAGTTTAAAGCTGACCATTCAGTTTTAATAATGAGTGTCCAATTTACAAGCATTTAATTTTTCGATCACTGTTAGAAAATAAACAACCCAATTGATTATTGATGTATAATGATTAATTTTTGAACAGTGGTCAGGAAGTTAAATACTTGTAAATATTTCCTGGACAGCGGAGCTACGGCCTACTCTTTCTTACATTTAATCCCAACTGCCAGGGGATTTTACTTGCACGCCAATGTGTACACAGGACCTTGGTTTTTCATCCCATCCAATCGACTAAGCGACTGTCCTTGTACTGATAAACTTTTTTGGCCAACACTGGGATCAAACCCGCGACATCCAGGCTAATGAGCCAGCATCTTACTCACTTAGCCACTGTGACTCCACATGGTTTATGCCTGTCTTCATTAGTCCTGTAGGGGATTGGATGGCCGAATGGTAAGCATGGGCGTATTGTATCATGAGGTCTGTCATTGAGTCATCTGGCGTGGGTTCGATTCCCTAGTTGTACGTAATGGTTTATTTGATTGTTGGTGTTTTGTTTATCTGTAGATCCCTGATTATGTGGCGTTAGGAGAAAAAGGTTGGAATATTTTATGGAGTATGGTGTCATCTGAGGATGATGAATGGACATTAGATGCTGGTCGTGATATGATTGAAGGCTGTATTTATCAAAAAAATGTTGAGGGAATAGGAAAATTATTTAAATTACAAGTAAGTAAAATTGGAAATCTATATAGTGGTGAGAGCTGTGTTAACCCTTTAGCAGTGTGTACATGTAAATATTGGCATGATGCCATAGGGTCAAAAGCCACTCGTATGCCCCCAGGCGCGACCTCCCACTACAACTGGTCAGATCTTTATTTTAATCAGAAGTCACACAGTAATATGGTTTTCATTGTAATATTTCGGTTATAACCGTGTTACCATTAGCTCAATCAGATTTAAACACAGATCCTATTTCGTTTCGTTTTTATAGTTCAAAATTTCGTTTTACTTGTCTTTACTACACTTGGTTCTGGAAGACTTGTTATTTAACTCGTGTTCTGCTTGAAATGGTCTGTCGAATCGAGTGTTTGACCTTTTTTGCCCAGAACTGTAGGTAATCCACTAGTAACATCAATGCTGATTGGTTAATCAAATGTCTGACGTCATAGGTCAAAAGTCGGTCTTTTGACCCCTGACGTGACCTATCGCCATAACTTGTCAGATCTTCATGTAGTGTAGGCCATCGAAAGTATAAAAAAACGAAACGAAATATAGATCTGTATTTTAATCAGATTGCCATTAGCTAAGATGTAAATATGTATATGTATTTATAATTGCAGGTATATTTAGATATAGATCCTGAAGATTTATGGAATGATTTAGTACATAATTGTATTGCGACTCCAGAATGGAATCCAACAGTACTAGAAATAAAGGTAAATATCAAAATAAAATGAAATGGGGTTTAACTTCTTACTGTTCTTCCCTGACTGGGCTAATAAAGATGGGCATATCCCATACATTTTGACTGGACAGCAACACTACGGCTAACTATTATATTTGGAATTCCAACTGTTAGTCCCATTTGAAGGACTACACAAACTTTTCTTGCCAGACTCTCCATCCTGCACGACTTAAAAGGAAACCGCCCAACAAAATCTTTCACAACCATTATTAAAAGCATATTCCTGAAGCAATTGCCCGAGAAATCCCTCTCTAGCTATTGCTGGATTGGCTTCTGATATTTGAGATTTTGAGGCAGTGTGTCTATTCTTCCCTTTCAATCAAATCTATCCCAAGTACAGCAACATGACAGCCCTTCGTTTAATCTGGGGTCTTCCCTAAAACTTTGGACAGTGATTTAAGGTATTAAAAATGGTGAAAGTATTGTTCGTCTCAATACAGTATTGTTTACATTGTATCTGTGTTGATAGCCTTGTTTGTCACGTAATTAGTTTTTCTGCAATATTCTGCTATGCACTGGTTAATTGGGCATAATAAAATTATGAGTCATAACGTAACGTTATGTAAACATATTTGGTCCAATTTGGAGCTTTGTTTAAAATGCAACGATATTGTTATGCAGTTGGCTATTGGTTGTTAATCAAGCTTTTGACCGGTCATAATTTGGAACAGAAATTTGCTTTCTTTACAGCAGTGTTAAGTGGGATTAGATCTTATCAAACAAAACGTTGTAAGGTGTATGCATTGAAAGAAAACTCGAGACCTCCTAGTTAGTGAGTCAGAATCTTACTTTCTCAGCAACCGTGGATCCCAGATCAGAAAGAAATACAATGATTATAATTAAAAGTTGCTTGATTATGTCTGTTTTTATGTGTAATAGATGATGACACTGATATATATGTATATTTTTTATCATTAGGTTTTATGTGTAATAGATGATGAAACTGATATATGCTATAGTGTTGCTGCTGAAGGTGGTGGTGGATTAGTTTCCAGTCGTGATTTCGTCACAATCCGTCGATATGGTTGTAAGGAAGGGATATGGATGTCAGCCGGGTTCCCTACCACACATCCTGATATGCCTCCACAGAAAAAATATGTTAGGTACGTTCTATCGAGAATGTTTGAAGATTTGATAAGCAGGACTGTATCTAAATTGTCATCACAAGAGATTTTCTGGGGTGGTTGTGCATGAAATTACTTTGACTTTTTATACGCCCACATTGAAATGTGGTCCTATATTGCCGTCATCCCTGTACGTCTGGCCGTAGGTTGGTTCGGCGTCCACAAGAGGCTAAAGTTAATATCCTATTGACTTGCAATTTATACACAGTGTTTAAGGTCATGAGACGAAGAATCATATTGGTTTTTAACAATTTTCGATAATTACGGATATTATCGGATATTAACTTTAGCCTCTTAGAGCATCCACAACCAATTAAATTTATATACAGTGTTTACAGTCATGAGACGAAGAAGCCTATTGATTCAATTTTCCTTCATTTTACCTTAGAATTTCTGACTTGATCTGGTTCTCTCACCTTCCCAGGGGGGTTGGGTGACTGAATGGTTAACTTGTGCGCATTGCATCATAAGGTCTGTCATTGAAGGTCTGTCATTGAATCAATCTGATTAAAACAGATCCAATTTCGTTTTGTTTTTATAGTTCAAAATTTCGATTTTACTTGTCTTTACTACACTTTGATCTGGAAGAGTTGTTATTTAACTCGTGTTCTGCTTGAAATGAGGGGTCAGCCAATCAAATGGTCTGTCGAATCGAGCATTTGACCCTTTTTGCGCGGAACTGTAAGTAGACATTAGTGGCAATAGAAATCAAAACAAAGCAAAAGTAGATGAAAAATACATGGCGGTCGCTAATTGGTTAATCGAATGACTGACGGAATCAGGTCAAATGTTGCTTGCTTGGTACCTGACGTCATAGAACGTGAACTCCCACTATAACTTGTTAGATGTACATGTAGTGTAGGCCATCGAAAGTATAAAAAACGAAACGAAATATAGATCTTTATTTTAATTAGATTGTCATTGAGTCAAGTGGCTAGGTTTCAATTCCCCCGCTTGTACTTGACAAATAAGTACAGTTCAATTTATATGAATATTAAATATTTGGTGCTAAAATTTTTTACATTGAGAAAATATCAATTTAGTCTGTGCTAAACAAAATATGTCAAGTGAATACATGTATATTTTCTTTTGTAGAGGTGAGAATTTACCTGGAGGTTGGGTGTTCAAGCCTACTAATAAACCAGATCAGTGTTTATTTGTTTGGTTTGTTAATACAAATTTAAAGGTGGGTTCAATTTTTCATTTTCATTTCAGAATGGGTGCGATTGTTTCTTCCTCTTCAATAGAAAAATGTTCAAGATTTTTTCAAGCCAGATTCTCACTTGTTTGGGTGTGTGTGTGTGTGCGGAAGTATGACTTTACCCAAACTGGCTTGTGTATATAATGTGCAAAGATTGCTGAATGTAGTTGAAATTCCAATTTATCATATCTTTGTAAATGAGTGGCGGAATTGAACCAATTTTGAACTGATATTCCTTTTAGAGGTTCAACTTTATCAAAATTGCGAGGAATTCATGGATCAGTATCCCTCAAATGTTTATCATTGACTTTAAAGATACCTTCCCGCGTACAAACTAAGTGATTTGATGATATATTTGGACTAAAAACATATTCAAACTAATCTATCTATCAAAAATATGCTTCAAATCCCTCTCCTATCTTTGTATTCATCGGGAGATGCGTTAGATGCCGAGTTGATCAGCTCAATTTGTTGATGGAGAGTCCATTTTTCAGAATGGATTTTTCATTACTTACTGTCCATATTGAGGCCAAAGTAAATTCTTAAATATTTTTTGTCAACTACTTTTTCCGCCGTTTAATTGCAGAGTCTTTTGTATGCCGACACCCTTTAATGTTCCCAAAACCGCCTAACCATTTGATCAAGAAATAACAACTGCTCCCTCAGTCAAGCTAGCACACAATAAGCTGGCAGACAGCAGTCGGGTTGCCAGTTAGTGATACCCTGACATTTTTGCCCAGTGCTTGCACCATGGGTGTTTTTCGGGTAATTCAGTATTTTTCTAATAAGATTGGGGGGTCTATACTTTCCATATATACCAAATTAGAAATAACTACCCAATAAATACTTTCAGGACAAAATAGATTTAAAACCTAAGTCTGTTATAAATAGTTGACCTTTGGCTTTACATTAAAGTAGCCAAGTCTCTAACTCAGTATCATCCAAAATCTTCAACATTGAAAAACACGATTTATTTGTCGGTTTAAATCAACATTGATGTTGTGATCTTATTGGGAAAAGATGGGCTTCTGATATCCACTATTTAAGACAAAATAAACATTTTACAATTGGTACACGAATTGTGTACCATAATGCGCTTCAGCCCCAGTTGTATCAAGAGACTCGAGGGACGAGGCTAGACACATTGCACCAAATCAAACGGCGTATGTAGACTGGAATAACCAGACACGAGAAATTTGCACTCGCTTGAGACTTCTGGCTTATTTCGCCAAACATAACTGATTTGAAATTGAAGTTAAAACGGAAACTATTGAATGTAAATCAGTTTATATACATTCATATTACAGTATTATATGCGTTGCGACCCACTTTTGTCAATTTCTAGGTCCCAAATGTTAGCGATTTAGCTCCTTTAACATTAAATATTTGAGTTGTAGTTTTTGATTTGAGCTTAAACTACAGGACCCAAATTTAACATAAGACTGCTGCATACTTTTATAGTCTGATCACTTCCTGCGCAAAATAATGTAAAAATAATTTTTTTTTTCTATTTTCCAGGGCTGGTTACCGCAGAAGCTAGTCGATCAAACTTTATCGGGCGTTTTGTTAGAATATGTCACATACCTTAAACGGCGGGTCAAAACACTTAAACAGGAACGAGTTTGAATTCATTACTTTCATCTATTTCAATTTGTCGGATGCATCGCAATTCCTCAAGAACAAAAGACTAAGGGGAGCAAACTCTTATACAGTGCTGGCTTCTGTGTTGTTGAAGATTTCAAATATTTTTGTTCATGTTGAACACAGTTAATTATGACATTACGTACCCCATTGTGTGCTTTAATTTTTGTCCAGACTTTATTTATGATGTGTTAAAGAGAGGGAAATGGGGTTAACGTCCACTTGGCACTAACTAGGTCATTTCGTCACAAACATATGGTTCAATTTTTATTTCAATAAGACTGGAGAACCATGAGCTTGGGCAGATGACCCTACTCCTTGTCATGTACAAGCAGGGAATCGAAACCACACCACTTGACTCAATTACAGACCTCATGATCCAAAGTGCACCCAACCCCCCATGTGTAAAAGAAATTCGTTGTGATTTACGAAATGCAGCTTTCTCTTTTATGGCAAAATATCTTGAAAAGTAATTATTTAAAAAAACAAATACAAGCGTACTATATGGGGCCCAGGAAACGAACTTGATGTCATCGCAGCCATCTTGGACTATTAAAAATCAAAGTTTGTCAATCAGTGTGCAATTTGTCCAATGAACAAGCATGCTCAGTTTCATGTCATAATGTCAATCATACTGTAATGGACGAGCCTTAGGATTTTTTCGAAGAGGGTCACTCTCAAGAAGAAAACCCAAGTTGAGTTGCACTTGGAGCTCAGGTTGAACAACTGTTAATTATGACATTACAGACCCCAGTGTGTGCTTGGATTTTTGTCAGACTTTATTTGTTGTGATTTTCAAAATGCAGCTTTCTCTTTTATGGTAAAATATCTTGAATAAAATAAAATTATGGACATACTATGTGGACCAGGAAACTAGCATGCCCAGTTTCATGTTTATCGAAGAGAGTCGCCCTCAAAGAACAAGAAGAACATGAGTAGTGCTTGGGGCTGAGTCCCTGGTCAACAACATTGTGTAACACATTCATCATGAGTAGAACTGCTTGGGGCGGAGTCCCTGGTCCAAAAACAACATTGTGTAATACATTGATCATGAGAAAAGAGTAATTCACATTATTAAAGATGTGTTTGTCTGTGGATTATTGTAACATTAGTTGTAGATAATTGTTTGTGATGAAAAAAAAAATGAAAGTAGTAGTGAGTTATAGAGAATTTGGAATATAGTTAACCCGACGAACACATTTATCATCCTCGAGATTGTGCCTAGATTTTATAACAACATCCTTTTGGGATCAGTTTATTGGCAGCACAAGGACCAGAGGGTTAATCCTATGGACCATGAAGATCCTTAGACATTGTGCCTAGATTTTATGACAAAATCTTTTTGGGATGAGTAAATGTCTGATGGATGTCAAGATGATGATAATAATATATCCACAAAATGTGCTCGTGGTTCATCAGACACTACATGTTGTGTCTAATGATAATATAATTGAAATATGCCTAGATTTCATAACAATGTTTTGGAATTAGTATCAGCAGAAGGACGAGAGAGTTGATGGATGTATACAGGTCACAATTCTATAGAATACAATTACTGCTTATAACTGAGCGACGTTTCGACTGGGCTTCTCTAGTCATTATCAGCAATGATAATGACTAGAGAAGCCTACCGGTAGTCGAAACGTCGCTCAGTTATAAGCAGTAATTGTATTCTATAGAATTGTGACCTGTATACTCCAGTTCAATTACTAAATGCCATTGAAACAATTGATGAATGTAGAGATGACAATACATCAGTTTATTAAGTGCTAATTCCACAAAATGTGATCATGGCACATCAACGCCAGTATCTAATAATATACATTTTTATTGAAATATAATAATATAATTGTGCCTAGATTTTTATGACAGAATCTTTTGGGACCTATTAGTGTTGCTCAAGGACCAGAGAGTTGATGGATGTAGAAATTTCTGTACTAGATGTTAATAATATGTCCGTTTATAAAGTGCTAAATCCACAAAATGTACAAATGGCGCATCAAACTTTAGTGTCTAGTAATATAATTGAAATAAAATACATGTATTATAATTGAAAAAAAAATTGATCGAGTGTTAAACTTCTCTGGGGGTTTGAAGGTAGTTTATTCCACTTAGTAGAAAAGGTGATTTGGAAAGAGCAGACATCTTTAGACTTTGTAGAGACTTGAAAAGAGCGGCCACCAAAGGACTTCGTAGAGACTGTGACTTGGAAAGAGTGGCCACCAAATGACTTTGTAGAGACGGTGACTTGGAAAGAGCCGCCACCAAATGACTTTGTAGAGACGGTGACTTGGAAAGAGCCGCCACCAAAGGGCTTTGTAGAGACGGTGACTTGGAAAGAGTGGCTACCATAGGACTTTGACTTGTACAATAATGTGATGGTGAAGACTAAACAGCCAATAAACCCAGCAGAATTAATGTGATTGTAAAAACTTTCTGATTTTATAATTAAAGATGCATTATGTAAGAGCTAAATCTGCCTATTGCAGATATTTCTTTTAGCCTCAAATGTTCTATGAATTATACATTTATTTACATGACTAGCCCATAATCAACTGCCTATTGCACATCTTTCTTTTGGCCTCAACTGTTCTATGAATTATTAATTAGACATTTATTCACATGACTAGCACATAATCGACTCTCTGAACCATAAGATGGTTGCGATTTTAAATGGATTAAAATATGATGGCTATTTAATAATTTAATTTAAAAATGAATAATGTAGAGACTTTTTTTATTATCATAACCACTGAAGCAATGAATGTTCGTATAGTGCTATAATATGACACATCTTTTATAAGTTCATATAAATAACAAATTTTGTTGTGTTTCATATATACCTCATAGTTGCATATTACCTCTAGATTTTTATTTGTTATTTGTGGAGTACATGCTACTGTTATCATATAGGTGAAATGAAATGCAGTTATCGATCTATCATTAGGCTCTGAATATAGTTCTTCTGGTTGTCATAGATTTTGGTCTACATTTAGGTAGAGATTAAGAAATGAAATGGGGTTTAACATCCCACTTTCTGCTTCATTTGGGCTAATGAAGACGGGCATAGACAATGCAGTGTGGTTAGAGGGAAATTTGGCTTGGATAAAACAAACAGAGTATAATAAAATATAATTATAATAATATAATATAAAGATACGTGCAATTTGTAATATCTTCATGACAATCATCAAATCTTCATGCAGATTTATTTGGTTATAATTGTGTCTCATGGTAAATCGGCTTAAATTGACATGTAGAAAGATTAGTATGAGAAAGCCCAAGGAATTGTGTAAGAAATAACCCTCCCCCCCAAAAAACAAAAAAACAAACAATACAAAACAAGGAATGATGTTTAAAGAGACTGACATTGTATTCTTGTATTTTCTATGGTTATGAGGGAAAGAACAGCTAGGGGAGAAATTTTTCCAAGCAGCAGCTTTTCCAGCTATGACATACTTTCTGTGTAGTTTAACCCTGTATGGCATATTTGGAGACAGTGGACGTCTGAACAACCAGACACACTTCCTCATGACAGTCCTGACAGTCAGGAAATAAATTCTGGATATTCTAGTCTAGTTTAAATTAAAACTAACAATTATGCACTTGGTAAATATTGATGTATTAATATTGGGAACGGTATAACATAAACACACTGAAGCCGTCGGAAATTGCTGCTCCTAAGGAGCCCTAGTTGGAGTGGTTTTGGGCGGTGCTTAAGTGTTAAATTCACAGTTGGTTTATAGGTTATATTTTGTTTTTTTTATTATATTTGAGGAGACTATTAAAACTTCTAATTTGGTCTTACTCTATCTGGAGATATCAATGTTACACGGAAGGGTCTTGGGTAATGTCTATATAACAGACCATACTGAAAACATGTCTAATATTTTTGATGCTGTGTTTCAAATGTTTTATTTCTGTGATATAGTAAGCCGTAGATGTCTATAATATAACATGTTTTTCCTCCATGTAAAGATTATCGGTAAACCGTTTTTTGATCTGTGAGTTCTAATAACAATATTGCCAAGCCTGGCCATAAGGCACTTATCTCCAGGCTTGTACGTTGTGTGATAATTTTTAATGCCACAGACTTTGCACCTGTCTTATGTCCTGGGGCCTGTTGCACGGAATTTTAACTAAGATAAAATCCAAATTTTAGTAATTTGATTGGATAATATTAGGTTGATTTTAGTGCTTAGCCAATCAAAATTGAAGTATCTACTAAAATTTGGATTTTAACTATTCGAGAAACAGGGCCCAGGCTTGTAGATTATATACATGTATGTTGTGGGACATTTGTCCTTGGCAAAGTCTGTGACAAGTGCCGTGTGTCCAGGCTTGTAAGTTGTGTGATTAATTTGTAATGCCAAAGACTTTGCACCGCTTGTATATTAAATATGTTGTGGGATAAAATTTCCTTGACAAAGTCTGTGACAAGTGCCGCGTGTCCAGGCTTGTTTATATTTGCAATTATATAATTTAGATTAAAATATCAGTAAATTGATACATGTATACCGTTCTCCACACAAGTCTGTCTATCCAGCAAGGGACTGCAAGAGAAGACAACTCTGTTTGGGAGATTGCATGTATATACATAGAGAAATTTTATGAACAATGTGATATTTTTCTGTAAAAAATTATTTTTGGGATAATGTTGTTATGGTTGTTTTTAGTTACCCGGTAATCAAGAATGTAATAGATTAATTTTTTAGTGATAAATATATATTTATCTGAGTTTATTTATTCTCGTGAGCCATTGAACAAAATGACATGAAATGCAGTGTCCTATGCAGAACATTTTACCCAGACAGCGGCGCCAAGGTCTACTCTTATTTCGAATTCCAACTTCAAGGGTTCTTTGACGTGCATGCAAATGTGTACACATGGCTTCGGGTTTTTCGTTCCTGAGCAAACACAGACCTCCTGGTTATTGAGTCAGTGTCTTACTCACTGAATCACTGCGACTCCCACTTGGCTGGTAGAAAACTTGTAAACGGAGGCAGTAAAAGCTTATCATTTTCCGTTGATTATATATGTTTGTAGCACACCAGACAATAGTCAAAGACCATAAATTCTAAATTATGGCGTGCCCAATCGCTTTAACGCATTCTAGTCGATTAAGGTGTGTGTACATTAGTACATTAGTTCTCTGTAGTCGATGGGGTACAGGGTGGATGTACAATAATCAATGGTGGTTAGAGCATTCTCGTTGATGCAATCTGATCCATACACAGAATCTATTTCTTTTCGTTTTTTATAGTTCAAAATTTTGTTTTATTTGTCTTCTCTACACTAATGACGGCTATCAAAGTATATAAAAAAAATGAAATGAAATCTACTCCCTCCTAAACTCAAACAAAAAGAGGCTAAAGATATCAAATTGAAGACAAATATTTCTACTGTACATTGTATATTTTATAATAATATTTATATGTGTAGAGCCTACGGGGTAATTAAAGGCAGCTTAGTTGTAAAATACATTTATTTATCCAAACCGGTGACTGTCAACTTACCTGTTTGTGATTAGTATGCAAGTTCATTGCTGGTCGCTTATGCTTATCATAACTTAAACTTTAAAGGCTCGATGCGTTGTTTGCTTTTTCGCTATAATATCAATTTTTTTTTTCACGGCCTAATCTAGGCTAAATATGCACGGTACTCAGATTAAGTATGTTATATTTGATTATTATAATTTAAACGTTAAAGGCTCTATGCGTCATTTGCTTTTTCGCTAAAATATCAAATTTGTCACAACCTAAGCTGTGCTAAATATGTACGGTACTCAGATTAAGTATGTAGTTTAATTAAGAAAAGAAAATCAAAGCACCAACTCCAGGCCTCGGTTTCACAAAGCTTTCTCAGAGTTAAGTTAAGAATTTACTCAACTTTCAATCCCTGATTATGAGAAATATCCCTGATCCAGAAACACAAAAATGTGCACATAATTTCTTATTGATGTATTTAATACATTAAAACAATAAACGTTTTTAAAGGGCTATTTTTCAGTTAATATAAGGCGAATATTTTTGCGTAAATTCTTAACTTAAGTCTGAGAATAAATGATAGCGGGCATTGTGATAGCGAGCAGCATAGATCGATCAAAGTTCATTTTATCACAACTGTGTGAATACTGAGTTATGATATAGCACAATGTTTCGACAAACGTCCTCATGTCGTTATCAAGAACAGGCCCCGAGTTCACAAAGCATTCTCAGACTTAAGTTAAGAATTTACTCAACTTTCAATCACTGTTTATGAGAAATATCTTTGATCCAGAAACACAAAACTTTGTACATAGTTTCTTATTGATTTATTTGATACATTAAAACAACAAACGTTTTATAACTGGCTATATTTTAGTTAAAATAAGACAAACAATTTTGAGTAAATTCTCAACTTAAGTCTGAGAATGCTTTGTGAACTTGGGGCCAGATAAGGATCATTTGTGCTTGATATCAATACGAGAATACTATAATATGTGTATAAACCAGTGATTGTTTTCAATATAAATTGTGTTGTGTTTTTGATGGTCCTCAATTGCTAAATGCCATCTAAGAGGTAGGTTATTATACCTGTGATTTTGACGTTACTGTTGATGATGTTAAAAGAGGACAGGTATGAACTGTTTAAATTCACTAAATTAAAATGGGTCAAACTTTGTCGATTTCAATAGATTGGTTTATTTATTTTATAGGATGACAATCTGTCTTGATCAAAAATTATGTCAGATTTTATGTGTAGGAATAAGATGTATATTTACCATTTGTATATGATGTAATCATTTTTGCTAATATATTTTCATCATTTGTTAATAAATTCTCCCTGTTGGGAGACCTTACACACTAATTGTACATTTATTTTGTTTATTATTCATCCACAGTATTGTGTCCTTATTGTCATCATCTCTATCTGTCGAGGGCGGTTGTGTAGTCGATTGGTGTAACATGTGTGCTTTATATAATAAGGTCTGGCATTAGTCAGGGGATCACGTGGCTAAGTGGGTGGGACGCTGGCTCCAAATTTAAATAAAAATTCAAGGGGATACTGAAACACATTCTTCCATTTAATAGATTTTTTTAATATTTGTAACAAATTTACAAAAATTAAGGTTAAGAACAATTGAACCCGTACCCTATTCAAAATACAACTATAAATGCAGCGACACACGGACGACTTTCAACTTCACCCGAATGCCCAGTCCTACCCTCAGTTAGCCATTATCGAATAGGGGGAACCACGATGGAATAACGCGATGAACTTTCTCGACCAACATTTGGATCGAACCAGGTACCTCCAGGTTGGCGAGGTAACGTCGTACACATTGAGCCACCACGACTCCCTCGCTAGTTGCTTGAAAACAACGAACTCTTGTTCATGTATAAATGTATAAACGAAGTACCAACCGGCTTTAGCCATTTGATTACACTGAACATCTGTTGCAATGTTTCACAGAGGATTACGAAAGTCTTCTAATATCTCTGTAAAAGATGACTACCTTCAGCACGAGACGTCTCAACACGCGGCGTCAATCATTGGCTCAATGGTGCGTGCATTGTTTACATAAGACTTTACTTGTTCGGGCGGAATGGAGTCATTTTAATACCCATTTACATTAAAATAGGAAATAAGTTTTACTTTACCAAATACGTCAAACGTCTTTATAAATTTTTCTAATACATAAAAAAAATGTTTTAGAATTTAATTTGTCGGAGGAAAAAAGTTAATATTTGTGGCTCATTATATAAGTCACATCGATGTCATCCTTATCAGTGATTGTCGCGGCCTAGCGAATATTCACTGCTGATCAGTGTACATCTGTTGATGTATAAATACCAACAACCTGGCTTAAAACAGAAAATTTACTTCGGTCGACTCAAAACAACGAACATGGACCATATGTTTTCAAAACAAATCAAAAACAAATATGTATTCGAAAAGTTAGCTTGAATGCAGTCAATAATTGATACACATTTTGTTTATCCCGCTAATCTAGTATTATTGTAATATTATTTTATCTAAATTAAGTCCGGGGTACTAATGGGATAGCTAACATGGCTCCACCGCCAGCGACACACCTGGCTATACCAATACCATTTCCAGCAACTGTCAATAAAGTGGGGGTCCTAAACGTGAATTGAGCACATAAAAGTAATATTATTTTATATAAATTAAATCCGGGGTACTAATGGGTTAACAATCAATTTTTCAGTCTGGGATCTCTGAATTTTGCAATTTCATCAACAAAGATATAGAGAATATCCCGATCTTTGTAATAATCTTCCATATCCTGTTTCACGATTTCTTTAAGCTCATGTAATTGGTCTTCGTTAATCGGGAAGGCGTTTGCTATACCAAGGCTAACATCATCAGCATGTCCGGTATCTATTTCAGCTGGCACAAGATACTTACTTTCAACATTTAGGAATTGTAGCAAATAATTCCGTGCTTCACCAAGACCCTTCTTTACCTCTTCCTCAAACGTTTTATTGTTGGAGCGAATAATAGATTGTTTAAGGACATTCTGAATAACACCCCTAATCTCAATTATATTAAATAATTCTGATAATATTTGGTAGAAAATTATTTCTGCATCATCGAATTTTTCCCAAAGTTCCCTATCGCTCTTGAATAGAGTATCTGCTTCTTTCGTGTGCTGTGCAGTGATGACTGCGTCTGCTAACGCGGCTCCACCGCCAGCGACACCACTGGCTATACCAATACCAGTTCCAGCAACTGTCAATAAAGCGGAGGTACTAAATGTGAATTGAGCACATAGAAGTCCTGCAACCATCATGGTAGATCCGACCATTCCGCCAAGGCACCCAGCTATTTTGCTGATACGGACGTTCTTTACCATAGCATTCAGATAAGACTCCATTTCAGAGAAGTGGTTAACAATATCTACCCGTTTGTTTATCCATTGTGTATAAGCCATTTTGTACTTTCTCTCAACCTCAGGTAATCTGGAATAAACCAACAAATTTAATTCTAATATTAATGATCTGTGGAAATAAAAAATCGAAATGCAATCTATGTCTGGTATTTTGTTCTTAGTTACATGATAGTTTTATTAATGCTGGGAGGTTGGATGGCTGAATGGTTAGTGTGCGCGCGCTGTATCATAAAGTCTGTCACTGAGTCGACTGGCGTGGTTTCTAATCCCCGGTTGTACGTGGCAAGGAGAAGGGTCGCCTGTCCAACCCCGTGGGTTTTCTCCGGGTCCTCCGGTTTCCTCCCACTGCTAAAGACCCCTACGCGCAAGCGAATTATGTAAATAAAATTAAACCATATGTTAGTCCCAAAATGACCTAGTTTGTGTCGAGTGGACGTTAAACCCCATTCCTCTCTCTCTTTTATTAATGCTTTTATAGATAAGTTATCATGTGTATAAAAGCTACAAGCTGTACACGTATACATGAGATGTGGGGTATTGCACCGTAGATGCCCCATTTGTCATTTATATAACATAATAAGCTATGATATCCCGACGGTGTCAATGCGTTTGGCAGTCTCTCCAAGCCGAAATCCCTATCTCAGTAGCCGGGAGCCGCGGTGCCTCAGTGGGTAAGACGCTAGTTAACTAGCCAGGAGGTTCCCTGTTCGCTCCCGGTGTTAGCCGAGAAAGTTTCTCGGGATTTTCGAGCGCGGTTTACTATTGTATCCCTACCGTCGCTGTCCTGGCTAAATGTCCCTCATAACATACTGTATAGCGTATACCCGTCTTTGTATGCCCAGCCGGTGAAGACAAGTGGGACGTTAAACCACATTTCATGTTTCAGCATCCAATTGCTCTCACCTTTTCAAGATTTCGATTCCACTGCGATATTTCACGTCTGTATAATAGCTGTCTATATTCACACCCTTTATAAATGTCGACAGAGAGTCTAATTCACTTTCTATATTGACCGACTTGCTATTTATAAAGATAGGCTTTTTCCTAATCTCTTTTAAAATCCTTTTTAAACCTGAAGGGGCTTTCTTTATATAATCCTCTTTTGTGATTCCCTCCTCGTCCAGACGATCTTTATTGGTAAACACAATCACCATGTAATTCGTGACTGAATCGCCAAGAATAACTTTTACTCTTTCGAAAGTTTCGGCATCTTCCTGGGTAAATCTTGATGCGATGCTGATAACATAGATGAAGGCGTGGGGTCCAGGTTCTGACAGCATTAGACATCGTATTATTTCTCTGTTGTTGTCGTCTTCGTTAACATCTGTATCAAAAAATCCAGGAGTGTCCACTACTTTTACTGCACTGTCTTTACAATAGCCTTCATCTGCCTCGGTTGTTGTAGTGACTGAACTTCCGAATGCACCACATTTAAAACGACCCTTCTTTCCTAACAGTATATTCGCTAGAGAACTCTTTCCGCTTCCTGTCTTGCCAATAATTACCAATCTGACAGGTTCTATAATTAAAAAACAACAACGCAAAGTTTAGGTTATTGTAAAATTATGTCGTATAAAGGAAGAGAGAGGGAGCGAGACAGCGGGAGAGAGAATGACGGGGGGGGGGGGGGGGGGGGGGTGGGTGTAACGTCACACTTTACCAACTGGGCTTATTGATCCGGGCATACGCCATAGGCTACAGCTTCACACCACCACCAGAACCATCTCCAGTAAAGGCTTTTACGTAAACAGAACCATTTCCAGTTACGGGGTTTTACAAATATATCAGACCCATTACCAGTAACGGGTTTTACACATATATCAGACCTATTGCCAGTAACGGGTTTTAAACATATCAGACCCATTGCGAGTTACGGGTTTTACATGAACACCAGAACCATTACCATTAACGGGGTTTACACATATCAGAACCATTTCCAGTTACGGGTTTTACACATATATCAGAACCATTTCCAGTTACGGGTTTTACACATATCAGACCCATTGCCAGTTACGGGTTTTACCAAACTCGTGGGTTTTCTCCGGGTCCTCCAGTTTCCCCCAACTGCTAAAGACCCCTACTCGCAACCGAATTATGTTAATAAAATTAAACCGTATGTTAGTCCCGAAATGACCTAGTTTGTGTCGAGTGGACGTTAAACCCCATCTCTCTCTCTCTCTCTCTATGGGTTTTACATGAACACTAGAACCATTACCATTAACGGGGTTTACACATATCAGAACCATTATCAGTAACGGGTTTTACATATATCAGACCCATTGCCAGTAACGGGTTTAACACATATATCAGAACCATTTTAGACATATTTAATTTATGTATCAAGGAATGTTTTTGTATTATAATTTTTATTAAAAAAAAAAGATTTGTTCAAATTTTATGCTAAGCATTAGGACTGAGAAGATTAATTGCCTTTCAAATTTGGTGTCAAGCATTGCCATCAGAAAGGTTGAACCCTGTTCATTTTCCAGAAATATGTGGAAATTTTTTGAACACGATAGAGATTATCCTGCTGTGTGGGTATATTTACACACTTAGCGTGGCAATCTTTTGATATTGTGTTCTATTATTTATGGATGCAAAAGTTAGTACTTTTAATGACGAAACGTTGGATAAAAAGATGTTTTTATTTAAACAAGCCAACAGTGAGGCTGATGTCCCCCGCCGAAATTGCAAAATAAATAGATGACACATATTAATTAATCGCACATTTATTTTTTTCACTAAGTTTCATCACTCTCTATCAGATAGAATCAAGATTATCTTGTCCCAAACCATCGACAAATGAAATCGATTAGCTCTGCTTAGCTTCAGCTCGAAATGTTAATTATTGAACTCAGTCAAGACATTCACCTAATGAACATCTACATATACATCAAGGTTAAACATTCACCTAATAGACACCTATGCCAAGTTTGAACATTCTACCTCAATTAGAAGGAGAGTTATTGTGTTCCAAAGTTTCTACCAATCAAATTGCTTATCACTCTGCTTACCCTCAGCAAAAAATGTTCATTATCGAACTTAGTTAAGGTATTCATATAATAAATCTATACACCAAGTTTCATCAATCTCACTTAATTAGAACTAAAGTTATCGTGTCCCAAAGCATCAACCAATCAAATTGCTTATCTCTGCTTACCCTAAGCGGAAAATGCTCATCTTCGAACTCCATCAAGGCATTGACCTAATCAACACATACACCAAGTTTGAACATTCTAGCTCAATTAGGAAGAGAGTTATCGTGCCCCAAAGTATCAACCAATCAAATTGCTTATCTCTGCTTACCCTAAGCGGAAAATGCTCATCTTCGAACTCCATCAAGGCATTGACCTAATAAACACATACACCAAGTTTTAACATTCTAGCTCAATTAAAAGTTATCGTGTCCCAAAGCATCAACCAATCAAATTGCTTATCTCTGCTTACCCTAAGCGGAAAATGCTCATCTTCGAACTCCATCAAGGCATTGACCTAATCAACACATACACCAAGTTTGAACATTCTAGCCCAATTAGGAAGAGAGTTATCGTGTCCCAAAGCATCAACCAATCAAATTGCTTATCTCTGCTTACCCTAAGCGGAAAATGCTCATCTTCGAACTCCATCAAGGCATTGACCTAATAAACACATACACCAAGTTTGAACATTCTAGCTCAATTAGGAAGAGAGTTATTGTGTCCCAAAAAGTGTGACGGACAGACAGACGGACAGACAGACGGACAGACGGACAGACAGACGGACGAACCCATTTTAATAGTCCCCTGCTTTCTTCGAAAGGCGGGGGACAAAAAACAAAACAAAACAAACCATTACCAGTAACGGGTTTTACACATATATCAAAACCATTGCCGCGAACATCAAAACCATCTCCAGTAAAGTCTTCTTCCCGAACATCAGAACCAGTAAAGTCTTCTACCGGAACATCAGAACCATCTCTGATAAAGGGTGTTACAGGAACACCAGAACCATGGTGATGCAAAACCTCTTTCTCAGCCACTGAAATTGGAAGAAACATTGGTTGTATAATTGCTGATAACGATATGGTTGAGTTCAAGAGTCCTGTTCAGGGGGCACACGTAAACATGGGAGCCAGCGTAAATGAATTCGAGGCATCCATGAAGATAAGTGGTTTAGTAAGGGGAAGCCAGACGCACCTTGAACTTGGTAGTTTCTTTTTTTTGTCCAAACTTTGTTGACAGTTTACATCTAGATATAACCGTTGCTTTTAATTCTTGAATTTCTTCTTCATAATAATGAATAATCAATATCTCATTATCAAGATTATCATCTCTAGAACGAACAGTCTTAACATTTGAAAAATAATCACAGTATTATACGTGATACTTGATGTCAATCCTCAAAAAGATGAAACCGCATTGAACGCCCTCCTGCACCAACTGGGACAGTGGAGACAGGCATGCGTCATAGACTACAGTTTTACACGAACATCAGAACCATCTCCAGAATGAATGAAATGAATGAAATAGGGTTTTGTGGCTATTGCATTTCAAATGATTTTAAATTTATCCTAATATTACATGTATATAATTATGTCTTTGTAGCTTAGGAGTGTCTTATGGAAGATTAGTTTTTTATGCAAACTAAATAAGTTGCACCATTAAATAAAGTTTTTATAATTATTATTATTATTATTATTGTTTTGTATGTATATGTTTATTATTCTGTTCCGATGTAAATAAACCCAATATGTACTAAACTGATCTACTGTTATCACTAAGATAGTGTTACACAATATATATCTGCTACTAATGGGTGATCAACCTGTTATTGTTTATTGATTGCAGAGAGGACAAAGAATCAGTAAATATGACTTGCTTTAATATTGATGATGATTTAATTAACTCCAAATCGAAGTGGCAGGTGGACAGATATGGTCTAAGATGGCGTCACAGTACTGAGGCTACCCGACCACCATCTTTAGAACCATCTATGTAAAAAGCAACATAATCACCATACTTAGACCTTATCTCTCGAAAGAGAGATTGAAACACCGTGGAGCTAGTATCTTTCTATGTTCAGTAAGATCGAAATAGATCTTTAGCGGAGATATAGCCCATGGTGGAGTCCAAAAGAAAGGGGTATTCGCAAAACTGTCAAGGCCGACACCAGTCTGTGACAAAAGGGGTTGAATACGAATATCGAATGATAGAATAACATTAGTTTTGACCAGATATAAATGTTTATGATAGCGTCTATATATGGTGTTAAATGAAAAACATGATTTGGAAGTGATGCAATTTTTGTAGCATACTCCAGGGTCAGTTTATCACGTCTCGTGTGCCTCGACGTATAATTATAAACCCTCCCTTTGAGATGTACTAAATGCTCCTAGACTGATTCTAAGTCCTTGGTTGTGTATGGTGTCGAGCTTTTTGCGATAAGACTCGCGGGCAGATCCATACACAATACACCCATATTCGAGTTCCTGGTTGTGTATGGTGTCAGACTACTTGAGATTGGACTCGCGGGCAGACCCATACGCAATACACTCATTCTCGAGTTTTAATCGTATTAATTCCCGATATATTTCGAAGCAAGACTTTACGGTCTGCTCCCCAGTCAGTATTTGATAAGACTCTCAATATATTGAGGGCTTTCAGACATTTCTTTTGAAGGCTTTTAATGTGGGGGATAAATGATAATTTCTTACCAAATATCAACCCCAGAAATTTGGTTTCATCCAAGTATGTATGCAGACAGTCTTGGATTTCGAAAACGAAATTCATTTTCGGTTGCCCATTGTTGAAGTGTATTCAAGCAAACCTGCAACTTACGTTCGGTTATCCACATGTCTGTAGAACCATAGCACATCTAAAAGTCATCAACATGAAGTGCGCCGTTTGTACCTGGTTTAATGCACGCTGGGATAGTACTAAATTTTTTATAGCAAAAAGAGTAGGAGATAATATGCTTCGCTGTGAAACCCCCATTTTCTGAGGAAACGGTTCAGAGAATATTGATTCCAGTCGTACCATAAATGACCTATCTTCCAGTAAATCTTGAATGAAGATAGGTAAGCGACCTCGTAGGCCGAGGTTATGGAGGTCGCGCATAATACCATGTTTCCACGTGGTATCATATGCTTTTTCCAGATCAAAAAATATTGCAACTAATTGTTACTTCTGGACGAAATCGCCCCTGACGAGATGATCAAGAGTGCATGCTCCTTTGGGACCGAAATCCACATTGGAGGTCAGTAATGAGGTTGTTGGACTCAATTTTTCCATGGTATTGCAAATACAGCAAGTTAAAGCGATCGGGCGATAGGATTCGTATGATCTTTACCCGGTTTAAGGATGGGAATTATTGTGGCTTCATGTCACGAAGGATGGAAATTCCCGTCAACCCCAAATCCGGTTAAAAAGATCCAATAAAATTAAGATAGTTGGAATAGGTAAATGTTTTAGAATTTGGTAGTGTATTTCATTTGGACCAGTTGCAGTATCCCGAGCTCGCTTTAACGAATCACGGAGCTCATTGTAGCATTCCAACAGAGCCCAATCAGCCTTATGCAACTTCCACCGGAGAGGGACCATTATTATCAATCAAGATATGGAAGTGGTCACTACCACATATATCTTAATTTACTCTCCATGTAAAATCCTGAAACAAGACCGGAGAGCAAATGGTGCGATCGAGGGAAGAAAAAGAAGCTGTGGCAGGTTGTAGATAAGTCGGCGAGTCATCATTTAATTAACACAAATTAACACATTCAGGTAAATTAAGTTCGCTATTTGTTTACCTCTGTTGTTTTTTTTTTCGTTTTTCTGGTATCTTTGGGTTCACCGACTATTAAAAATGGCGAAACTTGAGATAGGTCGGTAGAAAGACTCCCAATCAAGGGACATCTCGACCAAGCGTTTAGTATTTTTTTATTTGAATTAAATACGTTTGAAACGTCCTCTGTATTAGGACGTTTCTGTTTATTGATTGGGGTGGTTGCGACTGTGGAATCTAAGTATTTTTTTTTTTATTATTTCACCCCTTCGTCGTCCCCCCTGGTTACTCCCTTGCCTATTAGGGGAAGGTCTGGCTCGGATACCCAGCGCGTGGCCCCTGGGCTCGACGAGCGGTATACTCAAGCAAGAAAGTAAAAATACTACTCCAACCTCATTGACCCAACCGCCGCTATGTAGATACGAGGCCACGAAAATGGGTAATAAACAATAGAGCATTACATTGAAAACGGGTATATTGTACAGAGCTAAAACTATCAAAGTGTTGCAGAGAGAGAGAGAGAGAGAAATGGGGTTTAACGTCCACTCAACACAAACTAGGTCATTTCGGGACTAACATATGGTTTAATTTTATTTCAATAATTCGCTTGCGCGTAGGGGTCTTTAGCAGTGGGAGGAAACCGGAGTACCCGGAGAAAACCCACGAGGTTGGACAGGCGACCCTACTCCTTGTCACGTAAAACCGGGGATTCGAAACCACGCCAGTCGACTCAATGACAGACTTTATGATACAGCGCGCGCACGCTAACCATTCAGCCATCCAACCCCCCCAAAGTGTTGCAGAAAAACAGTTCACAAGCCAAATTCCCACTCAATTACCAGGATTCCACTTTCCACCGACATGGGTCGCAATGCACGGCAAACACGTTGTCCCATTATAGGGACCCTTTTAGTAACGGGTTTTACATATATCAGAACCATTACCAGTAACGGGTTTTACACATATAAAAACTATTACCAGTAAAGTCTTCTACCCGAACATCAGAACCATTAAAGGGTTTTACACGAACACCAGAATCTTCCTTCTCGGCTATGTATTTAACCACTGAAATTGAAAGAAACATGGGAAGCCGAAAAACAAAACATTCGTCCACAACCCTAAATAATCTGAATATCATTACTTGAGCATCAACGAGGTTGCACTGAAAAGACAACTCCTTAGTCAAAGCAGAAAATGTTCATCATCGAACTCAGTAAAGATATGAACATCTAGACCAAGTTTGAACATATATTTTAGAACCAGAGCCATTGCGTCATAAATTATCGAACACTCACATTGCTAATATCTGCTTAGCCTTGGCTCAGCATTGAATTCATTCAAGGCATGAACGTATTTAGCATCTACATTGTTGACAAACCAGAAGCAGAATTATTGTGTTCCAAAATAGTCTGAGAAAAACGTTACGGAAATCGAATTAATTATGAAATGTTTTCAAATGGCTAAGCCTTTTAAACAGCCTTCCCCAAGTTATGATGAACATTAACTTTATAAACACTTCATTTTATTTTTAGAACTAAACCTGACAGCTCTATAGAAGCTAATAGATTTACCGTATTTTTGTAGTTTTACATACCTGATTTATATAGGATATAAACTGTCACCAAGACTGTAACAAAGCACAATATTGAGAAAACACTTGTTGGTTTAGATCCATACATTATATTTTCCCTTAATTCTTGAATTTCTTCTTCGCGATATTGAACATTTAATTCCCCATTATCCAGAATAATATCTCTTGAACCAACAGTCTCAATATCTGAAATATAAATCATAGTATTTTACATGATATCAATCCTTGAAAACAAACTTTACCTTGTTGTTGTTCATACAAATATTTAAACATGTCGTTAAATCAAATCAAATTGCGGACCTCTGTCTAGTCTAAGTTGACAGTGCGTATCGTCCAACTACGTCAAGTAATTTAACTACAACAAGTTGAAAAATCTACCTCAATAGAGTCAGGGTTATTGTGTTCCAAATGGCATGACGGGCCGACAGACAATGCCTTAGTCTTAACAGAAAATGATCATCTCCAAACGTCATTCACTTTATGATCATCTACACCAAGCCCGAATGCTCTATTGCAATGAGAAGCCGGGTTATTGTGTCCCATGATCATCCAATCAAATTGCTTATCAATGTTTTAGTTAAGAATGTAATGAACATCTGCACCAAATGTAAACATTCTATCTCAATCCGAAGCAGATTTACTGTGTTCCAAACTTCATTTTCATTTGGTAACTGACTGATTTCCGATATCTCTTCGTCCACATTAACTACCAGATTGTGTTCACAGTGGGGTGTACGCCTTTCATCTTGCATATTAATTGATGTATTGTCATGAGTTTTTGGCTGTGGGTTATATTGCGAAGTGCTAAACTTTTAAAAAGAGACAGGTTTTTACTATAGATTTTAATTTGTATATATACTCTTCAAAAAAAGTAGGGGATATTGAAATGCAAATACCTATGCAGGTTGTGATATGATAAATAGTCATGGACACTTGACATGCTTTGAGAGTATGTTCACAGATAAAGAACTTGTCGCCCCAGCAGAAACACTAAGCTGCACATGCGGCACGCAATAGCGCCATACACGTGGGAGGGGTTCATTATAAAATTTTACACTTCAAAGATCTAGGAAAATTTAATGAAAACTGCCGCGTGCTGGTTTATCCTATCCATGTTTGTTTCCCTATCGGGTCTTGCATAAGATAGGGTGTTACGTTTAATTTGCAATGAGAACTTGGCATGCTTCAAATGGGTTCTACACAGCGAGCAGTAGCCAACATGTTTAATGTGTCAATCTGAGGCAGGGTTAATTATTGAATGTGTTCCAAATGGCGTGACGGGCCGACCCACAGTTTAAACAGAAAATGCTCATCACCAAACGACATCCACTTCATGTTCGTCTGTGTTCCAAACTTGAGGACAGATATATATACCTTGTTCTTGTGCGTCTGGATTTTCATTTGCTAACTGGCTGCTTTCCGACATCTCTTGGTTACCGCTAACTACCAGACTGTGATGACAATGGGGTGTACGTCTTTCATCTTGCATATTAATTGATGTATTGTCATGAGTTTGTGGCTGTGGACCTACTGATTCAGTCTGATATAAAGAAGAGAGTTATTACCACATATAACCACCTTATTAACACATTATGACACAATATGTATACCATTTTGATACACATTTAAATATACTGATAGCAGTAACCATTGGAAACATGTACATTTACACCATAGCATATTGGTGTCTTTGATATCTTAATCTAAATATTGCATTTACATTTCAAATAGATAAGATGGTGCCACTGGCGAATTTACAAGATGCTACAATCTGTCACTGTACTGCCAAGCAGTTTATGAGAGTAAAACCATGGTCTCTATCGTTATGCCAAAGAAAGGGGGGTGGGGGCATCTCAGGAATGACAATTTGAAAAAAAAAACGTAAAAAACTACAGCCTCTATTGCGTTCACAAATTTGAAAGAAACCCGTTAAAAACTACAGCCTTTATCGCGAATCACATCAATGCTTCCTAGCATATTTGAAACAATAGCCTCTGTATTGTTCACAAGGTTTTCGGAAAAGCGGCATAATTTTGGTACGAAAGGTCGCAGAACGCTGACTATCGCAAGTGTTCAACCTCTCATGACCATGACGGTTAACATCAACTTTATAAAATGATACGTTAAAAAAATGTAGCCTGTATCGCGTTCGCAAGTTTTTCGGCAAAAGGAGGACAACTCCGGAACAGAAAATCGAAGAACGCTGAATATCGATAATGTTCGTCCTCTCATAACCATAATGTTTCTCCCAAAACTTGAAGAAAAACGTAAAAAAAACTACAGCCTCTATCCCATTCAAAGAGTTTTCGGAAAAAAGGGCATAACTCCGGAACAAAAAGTCTCATGACCACAATGTATCACAACATAACAATTGAGTTGCAAGTGGAAATCTCACAATGCAATAGTATTACGTACCCCGTCCCCCCTGCCCAACACTCGCATTTCGAGTGGTGCAAAATGAAAGTAAAGATGGTGATGCTGCAGTTATATATAAAGAATTGAAAAGTTTATTTCTTTCATCATCAAACAAATTACATTCCATAAAATAATGCTTTCAAACCCAGGAATGAATCATATTAAAGAATAGAACGTATTTATATTTTATACATTGCATCAAGCGAGCTCCTAGCAATAGTATATTTAATAGTTCAAAAGGCAGACTTACCCAATGTGTCAATGCATACGTATAATTTGCAATCATTTGAAAATTCAATGTCAGGATGCCTGTGGGAATTTACAATATCGTGTTCGTTATCGTCGAATATGAAATTTGGAGAGTTCGGAATTTGGTTGATGGAGAATATTAAGGCATTAGTTTTATTGGGGTTGAATTTAATTGACCAATCGTTTGACCACCCACAGGCTTAATTTAATGACTTTCGAAGCCCGTGTCACCGGAATAGAGTCTAGCAGTATTATCCAAAACATCATGGATGTTGTTTATGAAAACAAGAAAGAGAAGCGGATCTAGTATAGAGCCCTGTGGTACTCCAGACGCCACATTTGCATCATTTAAAAAGGAACTGTTAATGAAAACTCTATCCGTGAGATAATTTTTCAGCCAATTCTATCACGAGTACTATGTGTAGTAATCTTAAATGATTAAAATTAGTCGAACATGTGTATATTAGTTTGTCTACAGATAAATTTCTAGTAATTGATACACAGTGGAATATTTAGCTCTGAAGCCTGATTGAAGACAATTTAATAGATCATTACAATGCAAATAATTGTAAATGTGTTTGAACATATTTTTTCAAAGATTTTACTCACTGACGGTAATGAGGATACATTTTTATCATCCCGAAAATCATCTTTTGAATGAATAGTCCCCACATCTGAAACATAATCACAATATTGTACTTGATACTTGTTCGTGTCCATACAAGTATTATAGATGTTTCGGTAAATCAAATTGCTTAGTCTAAGTTGACAGTGCGCATCGCCGCACTACGTCAACTAATTTAATTTGAACAATCTACCGCAATCAGAGGCAGATTTTTGTGTTCCAAATTGCGTGATGGGCCGACAGAGTGCCTTAGTTTAAACAGAAAATGCTCATCACCAAAGGACATTCACTTCATGATCATCAGAGTTCCAAACTGGAGGACAGATATTAATATATATATATATATATATATATATACCTTGGTCTTGTGCGTCTGGATTTTCATTTGGTAACTGGCTGCTTTCCGAAATCTCTTGGGCCCCACTAACTACCAGACTGTGACAACAATGGGGTGTACGTCTTTCATCTTGCATATTAATTGATGTATTGTCATGAGTTTGAGGCTGTGGACCAACTGATTCAGTCTGATATAAAGAAGAGAGTTATTACCACATATAACCACCTTATTAACACATTATGACACAATATGTATACCATTTTGATACACATTTAAATATACTGATAGCAGTAACCATTGGAAACATGTACATTTACACCATAGCATATTAGTGTCTTTGATATCTTAATCTAAATAATGCATTTACATTTCAAATAGATAAGATGGTGCCACTGGCGAATTTACAAGATGCTACAATCTGTCACTGTACTGCCAAGCAGTTTACGAGAATAAAACTATGGTCTCTATCGTTATGCCAAATAAAGGGGGGGGGGATCTCAAAAATGAGAATTTGAAAAAAAAAACCGTAAAAAACTACAACCTCTATCGCGTTCACAAATTTGAAAGAACCCCGGGTTATAAACTACACCCTTTATCCCGAATCACTGAAAATCGCTCATGCTTTCAATGCTTTCTAGCATGTTTGAAACAATAGCCTCTGTATTGTTCACAAGGTTTTCGGAAAAGGGGTATAATTCTGGTACAAAAAGGTCGCAGAACGCTGACTATCGCTAGGGTTCAAGCTCTCGTGACCATGGCGGTTCACATCGTATTTATAAAATGATGCGTTAAAAAATGTAGCCTTTATCGTGTTTTTTAAATCGGATAAAAATTATGACCTCTAATGGGTCCACAAGCTAAAAACGCGTTTTTTCGTACAATCAGGGGCCATAATTCAGGAAGTTACGGTCCGATATGCGCGAATTTCGAAAGGAACCGAGATCTTTGGGTTATAAACTTACATTTCAAGTTTCAACAAAACCGGATAAAAATTGTGACCTCTATAGGTTCCACAACCCTGATATACCATATTTTTACGCTATTTGAGAACAAACAGCGGCCATTTTGTCTGTCAATTTTGGGCCGATTTTCACGAAATTCGAACTCAGCCGTCCTTAGGATGTAACGGTGATATAATAATACATTTTTGTTAAATCGGATAAAAATTATGACCTCTATAGGGTCCAAAAGCTAAAAACGCGATTTTTTCGTACAATCAGGGGCCATAATTCAGGAAGTTACGGTCCGATATGCGCGAATATCAAAAGGACCCGAGATCTTTGGGTTTTAAACTTACGTTTCAAGTTTCAACAAAACCAGATAAAAATTGTGACCTCTATAGGGTCCACAACCTTGATATACCATATTTTTACACTATTTGAGAACGAAGGGCGGCCATTTTGTCTTGGGTTGATTTTCACGAAATTCGAACTCAGCCGTCCTTAGGGTGTAACGGTGATATAATAATATGTTTTTTTAAATCGGATAAAAATTATGACCTCTATAGGGTCCACAAGCTAAAAACGCGATTTTTTCGTACAATCAGGGGCCATAATTCAGGAAGTTACGGTCTGATATGCGCGAATATCGACAGGAACCGAGATCTGTGGTTTATAAACTGACATTTCAAGTTTTAACAAAATCGGATAAAAATTGTGACCTCTATAGGGTCCACAAGCTAAAAACGTGATTTTTCATACAAACAGGGACCATAATCCATGAAGTTTCGATCCGATACATGCCAATATCGAAAGCAGCTGAGATCTTTTGGAGATAAACCTATATTTCAAGCTTCGTCAAAATCGGATAAGAATTGTGACCTGTAGAGTGTCCACAAACAAATTGTGGACGGACGGACAGGGGCGACGACAATATACGTCCACATGAAAATGTGGGCGTATAAAAATGTAAAAAAAAACTACAGCCTCTATCTCATTCAAAGAGTTTTCGGAAAAAGGGCATAACTCCGGAACAAAAAGTCTTATGACCACAATGTATCACAACATAACAATTGAGTTGCAAGTGGAAATCTCAAACCCATGAATGAAGCATATTAAAGAATAGAACGTATTTATATTTTATACATTGCATCAAGCAAGCTTCTAGCAATAGTATATTTAATCGTTCAAAAGGCAGACATACACAACGTGTCGCCTGTGGGAATTTACAAAATCGTGTTCGATATCGTCGAATATAAAATTTGGAGAGTTCGGAATTTGTTTGTTGGAGAATATTACGGTCTTAGTTTTATTGTTTTATTGGGGTTGCATTTAATTCACCAATCGTTTGACCACCCACGGGCTTAATGTAATGACTTTCGAAGCCCATGTCATCGGAATAGAGTCTAGCAGTATTATCCAAAACATCATGGATGTTGTTTATGTAAACAAGAAAGAGAAGCGGATCTAGTATACAGCCATGTGGTACTCCAGACGACACATTTGCATCATCTAAAAAGGAACTGTTAATGAAGACTCTACCGGTGAGATAATTTTTCAGCCAATTCTATCACGACTACTATATGTAGTAATCTTAAATGATTAAAATTAGTCGAACATGGGTACATTAGTTTGTCTACAGAAGATAGCACGCCATGATAAATTTCTAGTAATTGATGCACAATGGAATATTTAGCTCTGAAGCTTGATTGAAGACAATTTAATAGATCATTACAATGCAAATAATTGTAAATGTGTTTGAACATATTTCAAAGATTTTACTCACTGACGGTAATGAGGATACATTTTTATCATCGCGAAAATCATCTTTTGAATGAATAGTCCCCACATCTGAAACATAATCACAATATTGTACTTGATACTTGTTCGTATCCATACAAGTATTAAAGATGTTTCGGTAAATCAAATAGCTTAGTCTAAGTTGACAGTGCGTATCGTCGAACTACGTCAAGTAATTTAAGTTGAACAATCTACCTCAATCAGAGGCAGATTGTTGTGTTCCAAATGGTGTGACGAGCCGACACAGTGTCTTAGTCTAAACAGAAAATGCTCATCACCAAACGACATTCACTTCATAATCATATGTGTTCCAAACTTGAGGACAGATATATATACCTTGTTCTTGTGCGTCTGGATTTTCATTTGCTAACTGGCTGCTTTCCGAAATCTCTTGGTCCCCACTAACAACCAGACTGTGATCACAATGGGATGGACGTCTTTCATCTTGCATATTAATTGATGTACTGTCATGAGGCCGTGGCTGTGGACCTACTGATTCAGTCTGATATAAAGAAGAAAGTTATTACCACATATAACCACCTTATTAACACATTATGTATACCATTTTGATACACATTTAAATATACTGATAGCAGTAACTATTGGAAACATGTACATTTACACCATAGCATATTAGTGTCTTTGATATCTTAATCTAAATATTGCATTTACATTTCAAATAGATAAGATGGTGCCACTGGCGAATTTACAAGATGCTACAATCTGTCACTGTACTGCAAAGCAGTTTACGAGAATAAAACTATGGTCTCTATCGTTATGCCAAAGAAAGGGGAGGGGGGGGGAATCTCAAAAATGAGAATTTGAAAAAAAAAACGTAAAAAACTACAACCTCTATCGCGTTCACAAATTTGAAAGAACCCCGATTTATAAACTACACCCTTAACGCGAATCTTACTTAAAGTCTTGTTCTGTTTTGAACAATATCTCATTGTAACCATGATCAAAATAACCCATTTTCACTTTGGCCCATGACGTCAACATGTCTTCCACTAGTTGAAATGAAATGTTTTTGACACAGTCACCTTATAGAAAAACTTCTAAGGACCAAGATATTGATCACGTATCAAGTTTAGTGTTAAATATTTCGCAGATTTCGTAGGAATTGGAATCTGTTGAAAAGTCTGCCATGGAGATAAATAAGGCAAGTATAAATATTCAAGCGAACGACCTATCAATCCATGTAAAATTTTGATTAGTAATTTTCATGTATGAATAAAATGTTTACAGTATTACAATAAAATTATGATTCATAGATTTCTTTGTTGTTCGTTTGATCTTCTTGCTAATGAAAAAAACATTATTAAAAAAAGTGTCCATTATAAGCAGAAACCGTCTGAAAAAGTTTTAAATTGATACGGGTTACCTATCAAAACAGGGAAGAAACCTCTTGGTCCGAAACCACGTCAGCTGACTCAATGACGAATTTTATAGCTCAAATCACGTGTTACATGTAGATAAGAATTATCTATGATTCCTAGAAATGATGTTTTTTCCGGAGAATTAGGTATTGATTAAGATGGGCGACACAATTTATTGATTATCTTGTATCTGATGAGTAATATGTTTGATAACGGGCTGTCCGTATCATTATGGGCGAAAAGTCGAAGGAGCGAGGGCGAGACAGCGGGAACACGAGGATCTCGTCCCGCGAGCAGGAGATTGTTTTTACCTCGACTTATGGCTTTCTCGCCATTGAAAACCAGTTAGATTTATTTGATAAGGCCAACTTCAAATTTGGTCAAAGGTCATAAGATATAAACAGGGCTAGCGCTAATCCCAACGCCAACCCTAACCCTGGACCTCGCTAAAAATCACATGCCCTAACCTTATTTACATCTCAGCGACCTTGACGAAATTTAGTTGGCCTTAACAAGTAGATCTATCCATTTGAAAACCCTTGTGTTCTCGCCTCGCCTCGGAAGTTCAATTCGTACGCATGTGCACTGACTACCACCACTAGCACAATTTACCCAAACTACACTTATCTACCCAAATCCACAATAATAAACTGAAATCACATTAATTATCATCAATCATGTTACTTTTTTGCACCAATAAAGACGGGTATACCCTACTCAAATATATATACGGTAAGATAACAAGTAAAAAAAGAGAAGATAACAGCTTTTATACATATATAGGAGACAGAACAAGAACATATCAGATGCACCGCAAAGGGGGCGTATAACAGACACTTTGATTGCATTGTAAACGTCTATTAAACTGCGATTTTGACAAGGTGAGCAATGTTATTTTTTTATTAACGATCACAACGGCTTTATGATAGTATCTAATAGTGATTTTGTTTGAAAGTACCCAGGGGTAGATGGAACGGGATATGTAATCGATCGAATTAACACAGACTTGCAATTTCGAAGACGATTCCTTCGAGAAGATTAGTTAGGCCCCACCGCAGACCCTTTTCTACTTCATTGCAATCAAACGATTGCAACCAATAGTTGTTTGTATATGCTTCGTCAGCTGGTAACGTGAAGTTGGCACGTTATTCGGGATTCGGTACTAAAACAGACCGACCTACCTTGCATACGACCATTTCCTCGCTACCTCCGCCCATCCAACGTTATCTTACCCCTACGGTCGGAGGTAGCGAGGAAATAGTCGGATGCAAGGTAGGCCATTCTGTTTTACTGTCGAATCCCGAATAACGTTCTGGCTCTTAGTCGCGAATCCGGAGTAAGGAGCCAGTACGTTACTCGCTATTAGAATCTTTTACTGACGAATCTCGAATAACGTGCTGGTTCGTTATTCGGCATTCACGAATCCCGACTGCCCCGTGCACGCAAACAAACCAGGCAATACCCTACTCACTTGACAAACGTAGGGGGTAGCGATGAAATGGTCTGTTTTACTGCCGAATCCCGAATACCGTGCTTGCTCGTTAATCGTCATTTGCGAATCCCGAATAACGAGCCTGCACGTTATTTATTCATTATTCGAATCCCGTGCACGCCAACAAACCAGTCAACACCATACCCGCTTGACAAATGGTTGTTTCGGCCACCAATCGTTCACTTACCTGCACAGTCGGGGGTAGTGAGGAATCGGATGCAAGGTAGACCGGTCTGTTTTATTTAGGATTTGGCAATAACGCAGTTGAGTGTGACATAGGGTTGCCCCTTGCATGCCAACAAACGGATTATGTTCATAAATATATGCTCTATTTATTAAATTTACTACAACGGTTTCAAAAAAAAAAAAAAAATGAAATGGGGTTCAACATCCTATACGGTTTTGCGCCGACTGGGCTAATGAACAAGGTCGAATAAAAGGCTTTAAATGTGTTTAGGCAATATGGGATTAGGCAATAAAACATTTGTTGTTTCAAGGTGTCATTAGATGTAATATTAAATGAAATGAAATATAAATTATAACACAGATTAGAAATTTCCTCGATTCTGATTGGTCGCAAAGTGTGGTCGAATGGACAATAAACACCCTCTAAATTATCATGGCGAATTACTGCGTATAAATATTACAGTGTTCTGTTTTAAATTTTTGTGTTCTATGGTCTTCCTCAACTCAAATCTTTATTGGCAAGTATCTTCAAGAAATTCTGCACACATGACCATCACCCCAATTTCAAAAATCATCCTTTATGAAAACACATTTCTGAAAATACATAAAACAGTAGAAAATCAGTCATAAATTAAAGGACAATATTGGTGCCAGTCATTATCACATACGTGATAGAACTGGTTAAACACGTTCCAAATATTATTTTATCACAGAGATCATTAATACGATAGATGCGTAATCAATGTTTCAACAATCGGAAGTGAGGAACGCAAAAGGAAAACACGAGTTATCCCTCTATATAACTGACTGAAGTGACAGTCATTATGAATTAGTAATTTTTATATATTAGCACAACCCACATTGATCAGCAATGAATATTCGCCAGGCCGCTACAAGAAGAAGGCGTTCGCATGACCTCTGTGGAACTTTGTAGCACGCTAAACAATGAAAAGACAAAAGGTATGCAGACAGCACTGTTTATTAACATTTCAAAGTGATTTTCGCTCATCTGGGGAGATCTTTAGAAATAATGTCATTGTATTGCGACACAAACTGGTTTCAGCACTGTTTTAATAACATTCTTAAAGTACTTTTCGTCAATCTGTGGAGCATAGCATTGTTTTAATAACATTATTAAAGTACTTTTCGAAAATCTGAGGTGCTCTTCAGAAATAATGTCATTGTATAGAGATGGACACAATACAATAAATTTAAGCATATATACATAGTCATGGCTGTGTACATAGTTAACTATCAGAGAACATGTATATGGAGGGTAGGATTGGAAAGTTAAATGGTTAGACTTGTATATTTTCGTTTCTGTGGATTACAGCCAAATTGGATGGTATGTTGCGTCGGTGGTGATTTTTAAAATTAATGCGTTCAAATGAACCAGATCCACTCAATATGGACGGTGCAGGGTGCAACTTAAATTTTATTGACTCCACTTGAAGTTGATTATGTTCCTTGGGAGGTGATTGTTCAGGTTGTACAAATGAATTTGCTCAGCAAATTACGAGTATATTGTCCTACAAAAAGCGTCCTACTCATACATACGACTTAACTATCGATAGCTAATTAATGTCACTGAAATGAAATCAGACACTGTATTCTACCGTCTTCAATAGCGCAGTCGGTTCAGAACAGTACGCATTAAACCCCATTTCATTTCCTTTCATTTCACTTTAACCGAAACCGTTATACTAAATTTAAAGATCACCGGAAAACTTCATATTTTTTTTTCAAAACAATGCAAGCAATTATGTCAACATATCTTTTCCATAAGTATAACACGATCCCAAATGTCAATATTACCTGCCACGGGTAAATTTCAACGTCAAAAATAACCGCCGTGACGTATTTTTAGAATATGAACAGATTTAGGTAGATTTGGGTAAATTGTTTGGGTTTGAGTTTCCGAGGCGAGAAAGCAAGTACACGAAGAATTTCAAAGGCGAGAAATTGAGAGCGAGAAGTCGATAAATAATCTTGTGTTCGCGGGGTGCGATCCTCGCGTTCTCGCATCCTTGCTCTCGACTACATGCCCGTGGCTTCAGACTTAACGCGGCGAGAAGTCGAGTTTATAAAATGGCCGCAATAGGCTTCCATAATGATTCGGACAATCCGTTATCAAACATTACTCATCAGATAACATATTATCAATATATTGTGTCGCCTATCTTAATCAATTTCTAATTCTCCGGGTAAATCATAGAAAAGGCATAACAAAGTCCGTTATTGAATCGGGTGATGTGGTTTCGGATCTAAAGGTTTCTTCCTTTTTTTGATAGACAATCCGTATCAATTTCAAACCACATTCAGTAATGATGATCGAGGTCAGGTCTAAAATTCAATCGCTAATATCTCGGGTCAGAGTGGATAAATTTGACTGAAATTGTCAGCAGGTTATCTTTTTGTAACTATTTTAGCGAGAACTACCAAGTCTCTATCTAATCTCCCACAATGTCCCTTTAAGTAAGATTAAATTGCATGTCCTTTTTCTACATGGTTTACATGTTGCTTGTATGGCGGTTTTAGGCAGGCGGATTATGTTTAAAATTATACTCTATCCATTAATTATTTAGCATAACTGTTTCGCATTTAGTGAAATGAAAAGCAATGAAATGGGGTTTACCATCCTACTGTTGTGCGCCGACTGGGCGAATGAGAACGGCATACGCGTAGGAGCCGGGGCGGGGGGGGGGGGCAGATTCGGTAAACCGTCCACGTTTCTTTCAATGTATTTCCGTTTTTCGGGCACAAACATCAGAGAATGTTTTTCGCTTGACATATTGTAAATTTACATTGTTGTTTAATTGTGTAATTACTTAAAAGTAAACAACAATCACAGATTTGTGGAAACCTCGCTTTAGTGGATGCCAGAAGCAAAAGGCTGCTAAGTTATATCGACGCTACATTTTTCTAAAAATCTATTTTGCACTGATTAAATTTTAAATTAATTGTATTGGGCAACGAAACGTTGTTTTCACGGTATCATTATATAGACGTAATATTAAATGAAATGAAATAGAAAATGTCCAATTTCCTCTCACCAACCGGGATAATGAAAGCAAGCACGTAATAGGACATTTAATTCATTTTTGCATTTAAGGGCGTTGAGTCGTCTAAGATACGCACTAACTTTTCGGCACCAATCTTATTTAGAATTTCCATACTTGTTCCATGTGTAAAATAACCCAAAGGACACATAACAGTCTGACGGTTTGTTGTAAAAGCGGCAAGAAAAAAACTAATTATAACAACGAGAAGGTTTCCATGACCAAGATCAGTTTCCCTTTACGACAGGATTATCCAGGTCTACAATTTTTCACGTTTGGAACATCGCTGACTTTTTTTTATGGCCGAGGACTACCATTTTTAAATGATTTTGAGAGAGGCGGAGTATCACACTGAAGTAAATATACTAGAGAGCAAAGAAAAACCAAAAAAAACTTCAGTACGATTTCAAAATTGGAGAGGCACTTTAATGAAATCATTATAGAAAACGATTTACTAAATGGATCAAAGCAATGTTTTGTGAACAGTATGTTGACACATTAGTGATTAATTCATCACAATTCCAAGACATTACGAGAAGGTTCAGTGTCTGTACACAGTCTATACATGGGTATCTGGTGTGTCCACCACGAGTATCAATAACAGCAGCGCAGCGTCTGTACATGGAGAGGACCAGACGATTGATGAACGCCATTGACACCTGGAACCACACTCTCAGAAAAGCCTGGCGCAATCCATCGGCTGTGTTGGGTCTCAGTACGACATTATTAAGTCTCCTCTAAGTATCAATAACAGCAGCGCAGCGTCTGTACATGGAGCGGACCAGACGATTGATGAACGCCATTGACACCTGGAACCACACTCTCAGAAAAGCCTGGCGCAATCCATCGGCTGTGTTGGGTCTCAGTACGACATTATTAAGTCTCTTCTAAGTATCAATAACAGCAGCGCAGCGTCTGTACACGGAGCGGACCAGACGATTGATGAACGCCATTGACACCTGGAACCACACTCTTAGAAAAGCCTGGCGCAATCCATCGGCTGTGTTGGGTCTTAGTACGACATTATTAAGTCTCCTCTAAATTTCATCCCAACGCTGTTCAATCGGGTTTAAGTCCGGACTAAGTGCTGGCCAGTGCATAACATTGACACTGCTCTGCTGTAGAAAGTCTCGAGTATCTCTGGCGGTGTAGGCACGGGCGTTGTCATCCCGGTAAACGTTGTTTCGATGACGTGCGAAATGTGATATGACGTGGGGTCTGAGAGATCAATCGGTGTAGCGCACTGCTGTGATGCCGCCTCCTCTCCATGGACCAAGATTCTGGAACACCACAGAACCCACTCTCTGGTCCAGGCCGATTCCACCCCAAACCATAATGCTTGGAGCTCCCCATAAGTCTCGTGCCATGACACATTGGTCAGAAAAAAACGCTGGCCACGTCGACGCTATATTCTGGTCCTGCCACCTGCCGTTGATACGCAATACCGACTCTCATCGCCTGTCGCGAGTTCTGGTGTTGTTGGGCAAACTGTAGACGTTGACGGCGATGGCGAGGGGTGAGGATAGGTCCACGGTAAGGTCTACGGCAATGGATGTTCTCTCTGGTGAGACGTCGGCGCACTGTATCGGTACTGATGGGTCTTCCGTGTGTTCCCACTGTCTGAGGTGCTGTCTCAGATGCCTGTGTGAAGGGATTCTGTACGAGCTGTCGCACAACATGGCTGTCTTGTCGCCTTTTGGTAATCTTTGGTCTACCACTTCGAGGGGGGGGGGGGGATCATCCGTGGTGTTGATGGCCCGAAAGCGTTGCTGAAGCCTGTAGATGGTCCGAAAACATTGACCTGGAAGTGATTGGCAACGTCTTGTCTTCCAAGCGCCTGGTTCCTCGCGTGAGTCGTGGCATGCTGCTGACGTTGTAGTGTGAATATTCAACCAGGTATGGGGTGCATTTTATAGGGCTGGTCCTAGTGAACAGCGCGTGCAGCATGGGTTACATGAAAATCATGGAGAACACATTACCATCTTAGAAGTCAGGTTGGGTTTTTTAGAACATTTCCTGGGTTTGGGAAGGAGTCTTGCTGCTCAAGTAAAGTTGGAGATGTGGTCACAAATATACAATAAAAACATTTGGCAAGTTTTATGCAATGCATCTATTCAGAGTAACATACCAACCTGACGTTTCTTTTGCTGCTTAGTATATGTACTTTTTACATCCGAATTGTTTTATTTTAAAACTTTTTGTGGACGTATTCAAAGAATTTACCGAAAATCATAAAATCTCATTTGAAGGCAAATAATGAGCAACGATTTATATATAATGCTTTGAGTAAATCCTTTTTACCGTCTTTGGTGTCGAAATGTTGCTTATAACCTCAACTTTCGATCTACGAGAGAGATGATCGATATTTCTTTTTAAGTATCGATTTATAGAATTTCCAAGAAAACACATCATTTTTTTGCGTTTCCATATATACCAAACCACAGTCTATTGCCAAAACGTGACCATTGTTCATGCCAATAAATTAGATGAAAATCCATGCATGTATAAATGAGAAGATTCGACTTTTTAAGCCATCAGTCCCCTTTAACATCACGCTTTTATGCCAAGTTTTGAACACATAGTTTATAAATAAATTAGAACAAGCTTTAAAATGTGAAAATTAGAGTACTCAACGCCCTTAACTAATGAATAAAAGTGCGTTTAGCTACCTCAAGGGTAAGATAGTTAAAAAATGAATGTAATAATTATTACACAAGGGATCTGATATTACAGTAACGGATGTAATATATTTGCTAAGTTTCACTATATATGGACAATGTGCAAGAATATAAATGGTCGTCACAGTTGCGACGCCAAGTGGGGGGGGGGGGGCATAAATCTGGTCTGCCCAATAATTTTAGAAAATAAAACGAAGTATTTGTGATACGTTTCGTTAATCTTCTACGGTGATTAAATCCAATATCCTCACTCAGTCATAGACTTGCATTTTGTAGAGACAGTGATTTCTTACCAAGTCAGTCCTGCTGTAAACCTACTATAAACAATAACACGTGAACCACTTGAGAAGTGCTTTTTACGATCCTCAAAGCTTTTGGGTATAGGTTCATCGCGGCGAAAATATGCATTCACCTGATACACTCACTCCGTTCGTTTGACACCTTCCTCTCTGTTCGGATAAGCTGATGATTTGGCGAGGAACAGTGTGTGGCCAGCTCTATTTATCTCGACGATCGGTGCCTGAATGAACACTGTCAGACAGCATTTCCGGCAGTCTATTTTTCAAAATTTTCTCGGGGAGGTCACCCATACCCTCCGTAAGAACTCTCTGCGAGTGGCCGTCGTTGAGTTTCGCAAGACCTTTCGTTTGACACTATCTCAATGATCAGTGCCTGAAATATCGCCAATCTGCATTTCCGGCAGTCTGTTTTTCAAAAATGTCTGGGGGGAACCTCCCAACCTCTAGTTGATGCTCGTGCCTTTGCCCCAGTTTTGCCCCTCCAAATACCGGCGACTAGCGCCGCCACTGGGTCATCATCAGCAATATCTGGTATTATTTCCAGATAGTTACAAAAGACAACTTGGGATGTGCAGACCCTCTCATAATCCATGAGATTTATCAGACCTTCCTTATAACTGGATTAGCAAGTGAGAAACCAAGACCGTCATGTCTAGCAACAAGAGTAACAAAGGTAAGGAATCTTTATAATTCATGTATTCTATCTAATGGATAAACGGAACTTGTCTATGGTATATTCCATGGTAGTACGTTGGCTCTGATGTTCACGTATGTCCCCCGACATGTCAGGTTGTACATGCAACGGTAGTATTAACTGGCCAGCGTCTTTTTCAATAAACGACGTGTGAATAGTCTTTATATCTTAATGGTTGTCATTGAGTGAAATGGAGTGGTTTCAATAGCAAGGCAGGACCTGACAAGTTGTAGGGTCGCATACTCTGCATCATGGGGGTTTCCGAATTACATGTATATGAATAAAATTTCACAATATGTTAGTCTCGAAGTGACTTATTTTGTGTTGGGTGCTCGTTTTTGTGCGTGCGAATGTGTGTGTGTGGGGGGGGGGCTCCATTCCTTTATTCCCCGTTCTCTCTCTCTCCCTCTCTTCTCTTTCTTTATATGGCATTATCTTATAACACTACCTGGGGGGTTGGATGGCTGAATGGTTAGCGTGCGCGCGCTGTATCATAAAGTCTGTCATTGAGTCGACTGGGGTGGTTTCGAATCCCCGGTTGTACGTGACAAGGAGTAGGGTCGCCTCTCCAAACTCGTGGGTTTTCTCTGGGTCCTCCGGTTTCCTCCCACTGCTAAAGACCCCTATGCGCAAGCGAATTATTGAAATAAAATTAAACCATATGTTAGTCCCGAAATGACCTAGTTTGTGTCGAATGGACGTTAAACTCCATTTCTCTCTCTCTCTCTCTCTCTCTCTCTCTCTCTCTCATTAATGTTGTAATGTGCGATAAGATTATGTAGATTTTATTATAATTTTTAACAAACAAAATTTCAATGAGCAATAGGCGGTATCGTCATGCTGGATATAACACTACCTTTATCCCCCCTCCTCTCCCACATTTCCCTCTCAGCCCCCCCCCCTCTCTCTCTCTCTCCCAATATGGCAGTAAGCTAATGTCTAAGGTATTATTTTTTTTAATTATAGAACACGTCAGGTTGGTGGTTATTGGCAAGACAGGAAGTGGGAAGAGTTCCCTAGCGAGTAAACTATTAGGAAAGAAGGGTCGTTTTAAATCTGGTGGATTGGGAAATTCAGTCACAACAACAACCGAGGCAGATGAAGGCTATTGTAAAGGCAGCGCAGTAAAAGTAGTGGACACTCCTGGATATTTTGACACCAAAGTCAGCGAAGAAGAAAACAACAGAGAAATAATACGTTGTCTAATGCTGTCTGAACCAGGTCCCCATATCTTCTGCTATTGTATCAGAATCGGGACACGGTTTACCGAGGAAGATGCCGAAACCTTCCGAAAAGTAAAATTGATTCTTGGCGATTCCGTCACGAATTACATGGTGATTGTGTTTACCGGTAGAGATCAACTAGACGAGGAAGTCACAGAAGAAGAGTGTAAAGAGAAAGCACCTTCAAATTAAAAACAAGTTTTACAAGAAGTTAGAAATAAGCCTGTCTTTATAGATAGCAAGTCGCCCAATTCAGACACTGGATTAGACCATATGTCGACATTAATAAATACCGTGAATACAGACATCTTTTATACAGACGTGAAATACCGCAAGGCAATCGAAACTTTGAAAAGGTTAGTGGAATATACTACTGAGACATGAAATGAATGGGGTTTAACGTCCGACTCCTGAGCACAGACTGGGCAAATGAAGAGGGGCATATGCCATACAGTGTTCTTTGGGGGAATTTTTGCCCAGACTGGCGCTACAGCCTACTCTTATTTCAAGGGATCTTTTCAATATGTACGCGGGATCTCGGTTTTTCGTCCATCCGAATGACTAGACAACCGTCCTTGTCAGCCCCTCGTCCTGCACCACTGACAAGGGGAAACCGTGCTGGAAAATTCAGAGGAACTTTCTCGACCAACAATGGGAGTGAACAAGGAACCTCCTGCTAACGAGCCAGCCTCGCGCCCAATGACCCACCGCGGATCCCTGCTACTGAGACATTGCAAGAGGGATTCTTCAGCTTTAAAGGATCGCCATACGCCTTGACACCCTCGCGATATCATAGCTTATAATGTTATATGAATGACAAATCGGTCATCTGCGGTGCAATGTCTCACATCTCCTTTATAAAGTGTCGATAAAAGCATCAATAAAACTGTCATATAGCTAAGAACGTACTACCAGACTATTATATATGGATTGCATTTCCATGTTTTCATTTTGGCAGATCAATATTATAGTTAATTATGTTGGTTTATTCCAGATTAGTTGAGGTTGGCGGAGAGTACAAAGTGGCTTATACACAATGGAAAAAAAACCGGGAAGATATTGTTAACTGCTTCTCTATTTTTGAGTTTGATCTGAAAAACATGGTAAAGAACGTCTGCATCAGCAAAATAGCTGGAAGTGTTGCCGGAATTGTAGGATCTACTATGACGGTTGTAGGAGTTGTAGCTGCTCCACTAACGTTTGGTACCTCCTTAATTGTCACAGCTGTTGGAGCTGGTATTGGTATAGCTGGTGGTGTCACTGGTGGTGGGGCGACGATAGCAGACCTAGTCATCTCCAAAAAACGCAAGAAAGAAATGGATGCTCTACTAAAAAAAGATAGAGAACTTTTGGAAAAACTCGGTGATGAAGAAGTCAAATTTTACCAAGTATTATGGGAAATATTTAAAAATAATGAGATTACGTGTGTTATTCAGAATGTCCTTAAGAAATCCATTACTCGCTACAACAATAATGTGTTTGAGGAAGAGGTAAAAAAGGGTCTTGATGAAGCACGGGATTATTTGCTAAAATTCCTAAGTGCTAAAAATAGGTATCTGGAGCCAGCTGAAATAGATACCGGACATGATACTAGCATAGGTGCAGCAAACGCCGCCGCGACGGCCGGTAGCCAAGTGGCAAAAACAGTAGCCGTTGCTACAGATACGACAACCGATATTGTAGGTAGCGTTGCAGCATCAACTGCTACTGCTATAAGAGTAACAGCTATTGCTGGTCTTGTTTTATCTGCAATTACATTACCACTTGATGTATACACTATCCTTCGAAGCTCTCGTGACCTACATTCAAATGAAAAACATAAATTAGAAACATTTGTACATGACTTTAGGGAAAATCTGCAAAAGAATATGGAAGATTATGATAAAGATCGCGATATTCTGAATATCTTTGTTGATGAATTTGCAAAATCCACAGCATAGACCCAGAAATGTAGGACGTTAATAGTAAACTTTGTGTTCATTATAGAATTTAAAACTATATCCAGCATGACGATACCGCCTATTGCTCATTGAAATTTTGTTTGTTAAAAATTATAATAAAATCTACATAATCTTATCGCACATTACAACATTAATGAGAGAGAGAGAGGGAGAGAGAGAGAGAGAGAGAGAGAGAGAGAGAGAGAGAAATGGAGTTTAACGTCCATTCGACACAAACTAGGTCATTTCGGGACTAACATATGGTTTAATTTTATTTCAATAATTCGCTTGCGCGTAGGGGTCTTTAGTGGTGGGAGGAAACTGGAGGACCCGGAGAAAACCCACGAGGTTGGACAGGCGACCCTACTCCTTGTCACGTACAACCGGGGATTCGAAACCAAGCCAGTTGACTCAATGACAAACTTTATGATACAGCGCGCACACGCTAACCATTCAGCCATCCACCCCACCCCCTCCATTAACAAATGATCCAACATCTTGTAAAACAGAACCGTGAAAATGTTATTTCTTAAATATTACAGATTATGTATTGTTTAATGGTCGAGAGCGAGACATTAAGTAATATATTGTAACAACAAGAGGACCGTCAGGTCCGAGTGTTTTTACAATATATTACGCAATGTCTCAGCTCGAGACCATTAAACATCTTAAAATACAGACACTCCGCACGTGCGTTTACAGTGAAATACGTCACTCGAGTCTAATATTTGACAAGGTACGATTGGCAAGTTGCCCGTACGATTATTTGAAATAATGGTACGCCAACATCAAAGGGTGACGTCACATCTGTATTTTAATTAGCTATATAAAACATATTACTTGTTGAAAAATAACATTTAGTTTTGTACTATCTGTAATTTATATCGAGTCAAAAGTTATTTTAACATTATTCTAATTTTATTATTCGTAGCTTGGTATTTATACAATCAGCACCTGTAATGAATTTATATTTTTATATGCATAATATTCGTTTTCTCTTGTTTTTAAGACTAGATGTAAGACTGGGCAACAGGCTAGGGTGTTCTGAACAGTGATTGGGGAAAGGGCTCAGCTGTTCTGAATAGAGATTGGGGTACTGGCTCAGTTGTTCTTAACCTTTTGTTAGACATATGAAAAAAATCCATTAAATGGAAGAATGTTTGTGCTTCTTAGACTCAGGTATCACCTTGAGTTTTGATTTAACGTTTGAGAATTGAATTTTGGATATTACATTTTTTTTTTTCGGTACAATTTTTTTGTTGCGGAGATACTGGGTAGCACAATTTGGGAACCACTGTCCTAAACTTTTGTTACAGCGGAACGTTTTAATATTATAAAAAAATGCTGGGCAGCTAGATCACCCAGAACCGCAATTTATTGTAAAAACAAAGACACTATCACTCTTACGATTTATTATACAATTAGAACAAATATTTGCATATATTTGCGTAACCAATGAGCTAATGAATTAATGTAATAGAACAAATATTTGCATAAATTTGCATAACTGATGAGCTAGTGAATTACTGTAATAGAACAAATAGGTTACTAATTTACTCCGAGACCAATTGTGTAATTATTTGTTTTGTTTATTTTGTACAAAGGTGAGTCATTTTGCTTTAAAAGTATATCATTGATTTTTCTTTAGTTTTTGGCATATTATTTTAATGTGAGAACTATTTGGTTAATAGAAATAGAATATACATGTATGTAGTCAGAATCAAAATGTTTTGTGGTTGTCTTTACGACTTTTGTAAAACTCTTAAAGGCTATAAGTTTCTGTTTTAATCAGAGAGGCAATCACTATGATTTAGATTGATCTTCCTATGAATATGTTTATGTGTATATTTTCCCAAAAGTTAATGAGATTATTCATTATCGTTTATCTCAACTAAAAACAATTTGATAAGACCTGTAGCAGCATCGTAGTAATACAAAATATACAGATTGACTGAAAAGACATATAATATACAATATACTTTCTGAAGCTAACCATACTATTATAACAGAGTGCCACAGATAAATTCCATCTATCATGTCAGTATAACAAAAGAAATATGACAAGTCTGACAGATATACAGAAAATACCTTGACATATGACTACTACAAATCCTAGGTTAACATACTATGCATATAAGTATCGTATTAGTTTTGACAGTTCATTCTATTCAGGATGTAAACAAAACAGCTGATTGGGGTCACGTGACTTACTACTTAACGGCGAGCGGGTTTTATGCACAAATAACCACGCCAGCTTCACGAACGAATTGCATACAAATTACACTGCTTTTGACAACACACGGAAAAACTTCTTCTTTGCTAAGAAAACATGGCGCCCCTCCGTGTGCAAAACACACTGGACAACCCAGACCAACCACCAGTGGAATAAAACCACCAATGAAAATTACATCATTATAATTATATGCTAAATTAGGCAAATCAAACCATTAATATACTCATCCTTGGTATCAAGTATACAAAATAACATTAACAACCACAAGGCTTACAGCAGTGAGATCTTGGAAACTTTTTACATAAAAACATACTATAATATTATTTGGGCACTCACATACCGACCCCCTAATTGTGTAACTTCGTGAAAACAATTAAAACAATTTTCTAAACATAATGACACAAATCATAATACAATATCTTACTGAAATATTATAGTAAACACAGCAATCTTAAGGTAAAGAATTACAACTTAATCTGGTATTATATTACTAATTAACACTGTAATTACAGTAAGCTTATGTTAGATAATTGGCATAGGCCTACTCATAATAATAAGAAACCTAGTTTCCAAATGAAACTTAACTGTTACTGCTCTGATTCCATAAGAAGACAAAGTTTGGAAATGGGCCTTATCAGTTCAGAATGCTTGGTTTTGACTTTAACTACCCTAACATTTCCCTTAGAATCAGGCATAATCTTAATGATGCGTCCTAGCAACCACAATCCCCTAGGTTGAGAATCATCAACTATCAAAACAAGATCTGACACTTTAAAGTTTCTTTTGCTATTTGTCCATTTTTTTACGTTCTTGTAACGTTGGTAAGTATTCTTTTGTCCATCTATCCCAAAAGGTGTCAGCAATAAACTGAACTTGTTTCCACCTACGTCTGACAAAAGAGTCTTTCAAATCAAAAATACCTGGGGGAAAATTAAAATTAGATTGTAAATATAACAAATGGTTGGGTGTTAGTGGGTCCAAGTCATTCGGATCACTAGATAAGCTGGAAAGTGGCCTACTATTCACAATCCTTTCAACTTCACAAAACACAGTTTGAAGAGCCTCATCATCTAAACTACTCTTGGTACAAGTGTCCTTTAAAATGGAATATAGAACTTTCCTAACTGACCGTATTTGTCGCTCCCAGACTCCACCAAAGTGGGATCCTGTTGGTGGATTAAATTTCCATTGGATATTATCTTGGAGCATATAATCATGGATCTGTTGTTTGTTCCATTTATCTATCTCCTCGCGAAGTTCTCTCTCACACCCTACTAAATTAGTACCATTATCTGACCTAATGAATTTAACATTACCCCTACGTGATGCAAAACGTCTTAAAGCATTGATACATGAAGTGGTCTCTAAAGAATGAGCAACCTCTAAGTGAATAGCCCTAATACCCATACAAGTAAATAAGACACCGTAACGCTTCACAATGCTACGACCTCGCTTTATCTCAAATGGTCCGAAGTAATCGACTCCTGTTCTAGAAAATGGCGGATCATCCGGTATCGATATTTCCTTTGGGATATCGCCCATCTTCTGACATCCGGGTTTAGATTGGTATAGACGACAAACTATGCACTTTGAGATAACTCTTCGTATCAGGGTATTTGCTTGTACTATCCAGTATTTCTGACGTAACTGAGCTAGGGTTGAGTTTCGACCAAGATGTCCGACTGTCTTGTGTGCATCTTGTATAATAAGAGTAGATATTTGAGACTGTCTTGGTATAACAGTGGGGTGCTTAACCTCATCACTTAAACTTGAACGACTGAGGCGACCACCTACTTTTATAAGATCATCTTCTAACATTGGGTCTAACCTGTGAATAGGACTGGCAGCTTTAATCATTTCTGGTACATTTTTGTTGCGATTAGCTTTCAATGTTTGGAGTACTTCATTTAAGTATTTCTTCTGTTCATTCTTGATGATTAAATATTCTGACTTCTGTAGAACTTCTAAATTCAATTGACCAAATGTGTTGAAGTTATCCTTTGTTTTAATTTTATCCATTTCCCTCTTAATCCTTTCTTCTAAACATTGACCATTGTTTTCTGTTTGTTGTAATTTATCACGAATCTCTTTTCTTTTAGAAGACAAGTACTTGAGAAAAGACGTAAACTGTACAATCCATCCAACTACTTTACACAGTTTTTTCCAAGTGGAGAAGTGAGTTAAGTAAACATCAATTGGAGATGGTTTAACAATGGTTGCATGAACTGCAGGTCTGACTTCTGGGTCATTTCCAGCGAGTTGATTATTACTTCTGGTAATAGGCCATTCCGTTTCTCCTTTCTTTAGAAGATCTGGTCCTATAAACCAATTACTATTAACCAATTTTTCAACTGTTGTACCACGAGACGCCATATCACTAACATTTAGTTTACCGTCTATGTGTCGCCATTGTTTTGGTTCTGTATTGGCATGAATTATGGTGATGCGGTTGGCGACAAAAGTGTAAAACCGTGTAGACTCATTATTAATGTAGTTAATTACTGACATACTGTCTGTCCAAAATATGACTTCATCAATTAGTATTTCCATTTCACTGTTAATAATATTACTCAATCTTACAGACATCATGGCTGCTGTTAATTCCATGCGAGGGATTGTCACTTTCTTTAATGGTGCCACTCGCGACTTGCTCATCAAAAGACAGACATAAACCTTGTTATTACTGTTGACTAAACGTAGAAACGAGGCCGTTCCGCATCCCTTCTCACTGGCATCACTGAAATTATGGACTTGACAGGAGGTTATATCATCGAAATCGGCTGGTTTTATACATCTATTAACTCTAATGGTCTCTAACAACGGAAGATC